AAGGGCTGGCTCGCGGAAGAGAGCAAGCCAGGACGTGTGGGTAGGGTAGTAGGCGTCGACGTTTCTAGTGATGGCGGCAAACTCGGCGTCCACTTCAGCATCGAGCGCCACGCCCTCGCGAAGCCAACGAAGAGTCGACTTGGCACGTTCGAGATGACCGTTTTCGACGAGCCAACGGGGGCTGACCAGACATCAGCTGTGTACTTGTGCGCGCAAAGGGGCTCGCGACTTACGTTTCGGGGATCCAGGGCAGCCCGGCAGCGAACGTCAGGGCGGGCACGAGTTCGAGGCAGATGGACAGGCGCCAGCCGTAGTAGTGACCGCTGGCTGAGGTCCAGTACGTCATGAAATAGCCGACCCTGGTGTACAGGTCAATCGCAGTTCCTCTCCTCCGAGTTACACAACATGCATCCACAAACTTACCAGAGGCCGGTGGCGAGGCCGGCGATAAAGCCGACATGATTCATCGTCACAAAATGACCCCTCTGCTTCGCAGGTGAAACCTCACTTTTGAAGTCAGCAACTCAGCATCATAACACTTCATTGGCTTCACCTACGCTTGATATAGCGCACCGATGTCGAAACGATGGCTACGCAACACCCGACACCATTCGCCCGAGAATCATGTCACGAGGCTGATCCACCATTGCTGGTCGCCTGGAGTACCGTGCCGAGTATGAGAATGCCGACGCCAGAAAGAGCTGCGTATCGACGACCGAGCCAATCGCTGAGGGGATGCGAGACGAAGATGTAGCTTAGGAAAGTACCAAGGTAATAGATACCAGTGATGATGCCCTTTGTGCCAGCCTTGGGATGGTTGAGCATCTCCTGCCAGCCGGGGTGGACGAGAATAGAGGACAATACACCAATATGGTAACTAGATATCTGTCAGCATGGTTCTGGGCATCGACGCACCCGATTATTGAGGTCTCGTCAAGCGAAATGCCTCACTCGACTGCCCCTCAGCGCGACGTCTGCAGCATCATGGCCGTCGCAAGACGCAGTAGGATATATATGAAGCGCATGTGGTCTTACCCCCATACTGAAGCGCCAATGCCGAAGAAGAAGCACAAAAAGTACAACCTCCGTGCGGCCAGTACCGCGGGGCTCTTGAAGTTGGCCATTGAGTAGACCAATCGAGCGTCCAGCTTCCAGTCTCCAATCAAAGGAACGTCTGGGAAGAGAGGAAAAGAAAAAAAAGACGGAGGAGCTATGGCTTCATCGTTGAACTGCGCCTTGTTCTCAGTGCACTAGAAAGTGTGGCCGCTCGGGGGATGGCTGTTGGTGAAGTCGACAAGCTGGTACTTTGTTCTTGGGGTGGTCGTTGTGGCAAAGGTGGGGGGTGAGGTGGATGCCCAGCTTGCCCAGGTGAGGGCACCACACACTTGGCCACCTCGTGCACTGACAATTTCTGCATCCTGCAAACACCCACTTCGTTCATCTATTCACTTGGCAATCCTCCGAGCAGGCTTAAGGCATGGTCTACGACCCCAAAGTAATCGGGTAATCGGCACGGTCGAATACGCTGCCTACGGTGCTCGCTTTTCGGCCTCTATTCAGGTGCTCACGGGGTAGGAGTTTCGTGGCACCAGACCGTGGCCAACTTCACGCATGTAGCTCATGGGCTTAACATCACTCGTGGCTCTCTAATTATTGTACACATATCATACAGCCCGTTTCTCATCTATGTTCACCGCGAGCCGTACCCTGGGAAATCAAACTGGCCTGTCTGATTCGAGGGCAGCGCCATATCCCATCCGGCATAAGGGCTGGGCCCCGGACCTGGCCCCGACCCTGGCAGGATCTCAGTTAGCCCCGTTGCGAGATTCGTTTGCGGTACCCCGTATGCCCAGGACCCCGTCATGACATCCTCCGTCATATCGGACGCAAAGTCTCCATAGAGCCCGCCCGGCAGTCCACTCGGATTGAGCCCGTACTCGCCGCCATCCCCCGGGACCTGCTCCATCACGGGCATCAACATGCGCCCGCCAGCACCGTTACTTGACCGAATCTCTGTCCCTGTCGATGAGCACCGGCCCAACCCATCATCCATGCCAAAACTTGACCCTAGAAGTGCGATCGAGAGACTGTCCTCAGATGACCCTTCGTCGACATCCACCCCCGAGTCCGGCCTGGGCCCACGTCGTGATGGCTGCCCTGGCATGGCAGCGTTGATCTCGCTCTTGCGATTGCTTCTATTCGAGTATGGCTTTGTTCTCGCGTCATTCACGCACTGCTCCACAACCTGGATGAACTGGTTGCGATACACGTTGCCTATCGTCTCAAGCGCCTGCTCGTTGAGTCCTTTGTTGCGTAGACTTCCCTCGAGCGCCTTCAAGCTTGCGAGGAAGCGCCCCGTCACCTCAAAGTGTTCGATGACAGGACAGAAGTCTACATGCGAGTTAGCAGCCAGCATGGCGATCGAGAAGAAAGAAAACCCACCCCAGTTGACCACTTCGTGATCACCGTCATCCGGAAACACGAGGTTCCAGATTTCCATCCACTGCACTTCCGCCGATGTCCCGCCCGCCCGCTTCCGGCTCAGCAGCTTGGCAGCCGTTGGCCCATCAATGCCACATTCAGGGTCGTGATCAGCAATGTCACACATGAGCTCCCTCGGCAGTCTCTGGTGGTCCCTGAGATCCTTCCTTGCTGCAAAGTCGCGGTTGCACCGGTCACAGACGAAGGCGGACGGATCCACCCGCTTATGTTGCTTCACGATGTGCTGTCGCAGCTCGGCAAATTTCGGAAAATACGTCATGGCGCAAGAGTGATGCTCACGCACGTTGAACCGCGCAGGGTTGCGCTTGCGAAAGGGGCAGCTCAGGCGGAGGTTCTCTTCGGGTTCCTTGACGATCTGTCGAGCGCGTTTGAACGGAGCACCGCCATCGGCGTCATCCTCGCTGATGTCCTCGTCATCTTCTGTTCCGTCACGGCTGGGGCCGCCTTTCTTCCGCTTTCCAGTTTGGGAGGTTCGCGTTGGAGCTCGTGCAATGAGCACTGTTGATCGAGATGAAGTTGATGTCGTGTGCGTGAGCTGCGTGGTTGACGGGCCGCTGAAGGCGATGCGGCCGACGTCTTGAATGAAGCGGGACGTGAAGCGGCGGAGCAAATTCTGAGGAGCGCCAATCTCATCTAAATCGACACCATACGCAGCTTGGAGGACGTAGTTGAGCACGCCCTCAACCTCCTCGTCTGCGCTGTCTGAGGGGTCAGCGTCCCAACCTGTGGAAAGTCTGTCGACCCCCACGTCGAAACTCATCCTCTCCTTGAGCGGCGGAGGCCCATTGCTGTCGGTCTGGTCGGCTGCTGGTCTAAAGTGATTTCAGCATGGGCTCACTTCCCGGGTCTAGGGTGTTGCCAAGCCGCCTACCTTGGAGTGCCGGCTGCACGAATGGCTTCAACCTCTGGTATCTCATTGATCTCTGGCTGTCTAGAGTGGTCCTTCATCCGATCTTCGTCGGGCACTGAATCAACAAACGTAGACGAGGACGAATCATATGACTGGCGATTCCAGTGCCTAATGGGATGACCCCGCAGCGTCTCCCTGCTGGGGACCTCGACATCTGGCGTCGTGGCCCGAGTGAATGTTGAGAGGGTCGGCGACATGGGCATCGAATATGTCGTGGCCGAGTCAGGCATGACAGCCGAGCTCATAGTCGACGACGTTGGTGAACGGTCACGATACGCCTTGAAAGCTGCTGATGAGAGGTTCAAGCCCTCGGGGCATTTTGAGGACGGGTGCGGGGCAGGGTTGTCGAGCGACGTCCATTGTAGCACCTCGGTGATGTGAGGGAAGGTGGCAGAAGATGAAGATACAGACGAGGAAGTCTTGAGATGACGCGTCTCGCGGTGGCGGATGGGCATCGGCGTTGACCACGTTGACTCGACGCCTTCTGTGTGGAATGGTGAGTCTGCCATGGCGCAACACTGAAATCCCAGACAGTGATCTCGTTGCGTTGTTCTGTTTGTGCGACACGTCGTCTTGCTGTAGTTCGCTATTACTAACCTTAGGCCTTAGGTCAATGGAAAGCCAATATCGAGTATCATGCGCCGGCGGCGGGATCGGACAAGGAGAGAAGAAACATGTCAAAGAGAAGCCATGCTTTCTCGAGATTCTCTTGCCAACCGACGACGCCTTTGCGGTCTGTCCGGCGGCGGTGCGAGTCCCCGATTGCTTACGACTTGGCCCCCAAAGAAAGGATCGACAGCCAACGGGGACTACGGCGCAGCCGACGCAGGGGGGGAGGTTGCGCGGCACTGGATTGGCCCATGATGGCGACCACGCAGCCAGTTGGGGCAATGTCATGTCTCCATTGGCCGTGCACCAGGTATCCTTACCTGCCAACGGTCAAGCTGAATCGCAGGCTGCCTCTTCATGTTGGAGGCACCTCCTGCATGTCGTTAACTTCTCCTCGAGCGATCATTGGCTCATGGTAGGTGTCTTGGGTGGTCGTCTCTCACACTTGCAACACCGAGGAAGGTGATTAGAGCCAAGTATGCCCTCTAAGAGGATGGATGCCACCAATTTAGGCGTGATGGTGACGATCTGGCGGGAGCAAATCGAACTGGAGATACCGGACCCCCCGGCAGGACACGCTCCAAACCCCACGAAACCTAAATGACGGTTGGTTGTCCGCAGAGCAAACACCTACTGTAACCCCGCTGTGCCCCGATGATTCCCATTTCGGTAGAGAACCCAAGAATATCGACAGGCCGGCTTTCACGATGATGAATGCGCCCAGAACATCAGCCTGGCTCGGTTTTCGCCTGTCGAGTGACCAAGGTACGGGGAAGTGGTACGTGGCTTTTTCAAGCCAGCATCCCTGCACACACCCTGGTGAGCGCTGATCTGTTTCGAACGATGGCGTTTCATTTTCTGAGCCTACCCCAGCCCTGCCAGATGTCTCGGTCACCAAACATGGAAGAGGGAGGAGCCGCAAAAACGTCAAGCAAACCCGCTCGATGCTAGGTAAGCAGTTGGAGCCTCTTTCGAAATGGATGCACCAGGCGTGGTGACCAGGATGTCTTGACGCTAAGGTGCACCACGATTCGGGTACCTGAACGCCAAGTCGAAAGACACAATTGAGCTTGTCTATTGGTCCATGGTGAAAATGGTCCAGCAAAAGATGTCCTGCAGCAGGAAGATTCAGTGCGTGCCGCTTGGAATTAACAGACGATTTTGGCCATGTGAACGTAGTCCGGCGATGGTTGCGATCTCCGTTGTCACGGCTATGAAGCTGCTGGTGTAGTCTCGGGCCCTCTCTCGGGCAGTAACATATAATCGGTATTCTTCGCTATATTATGTTGTTCAAGTGATCTGAGTTAGCCAGCCTACTGCATCCGTCACATAACCGTCCCGCAAACAAACAAAGCCTGAGAGTGTTCACGTTGTCTTTGCATAATGTCGTATCCTCGGACATCAAGCAGCGGAACGCAAGAGCCAGCAACATCAAGGTATGCAGCAGTTCACATCGCTGAGCCAGCTAATCTGACGACAGATCATCCGTCAGTGCCGGACCTAGCCTTCCTTACAGCTTGGATCGCTACGTGATGTCCACTGAGCCTTGGTCGCCCTACGCCAAGCCGAGACCAACGGCCGCAGCCACACGAACGCCAGATGCGCTACTAAGGGAGCTTGATGACCTATTATGCCACGAAATTCAGCGGTCAGGGAGCGATGCAGGTCCATCGTCCTCAAGGGATAGATGAGAAACAGCGGCGACAATGGATAAGCAACAATGCGGACGCGCTGGGCGCAAGTGACGGAACGGTCCCACAGGGACAATATAATAGCCACTATGTATGTAACGATCATGTACTATGGGCCAGACAATGGCCAAATATATATATCAGAAGACTCCAAATGCTCAAACCCTCTCGCAACTATCCTAAGACGTGAAAAGCTCGAGAGCATCCACAATCTGGACTCAAAGTTAGCGCTGATCAATAGCCTACTATCAGAGACACTCACAAAGTTGGGACTCAGGAACGTGTCGCCGCTGCTGCCAGAAGCCACACTGATGGTGATGGTGTTGGCCCCGGCCTTGAGTTGGCCAGACGGGATAGCAATGTCGTATTGCTCGCCCAAGCCCCGGTAGGCGCCGCGAGTCACGCCACGGGAGTTGAGGTTACGCGGCGCGGCGGGTGTGGCGGCGGTCCAGGTGTTAACCTGAACAGCAGGACGTGCGCCGGCGAAGGACAGGGTGGTGCTGATGCGGAAGGTTGCAGCACCTGGAGCGGAGGCAAGGTTGAACTTGATCACAACGCCGTTGTTCACCGATTTGAAAATAGCCATGGGAAAGTCGCTCAGCGCGGAGGAGCCAACCGTGTACGAGTTGGTCCAGCTGCTCATGCGGCTGTCTGAGGGGTGCATGCGGAGAAACTTGTCTGCGTTGCGAAAGCCGGTGGGCTGGCCGTCAAATTCCCCAATCTTGAAGAGCGAGTTGCTTGGGACCTGAACTGTGCTAGCAATATCACGAGTAGTGGTGCTGCCGGCGGTGACGGTGACGGAGGTTTCGGCAGCCTTGTACTCTGTCTGGTAGAGGACTTGAGTGTAAGTGCCGGGCTTCATAGCCGGCGAGGTAAAGGCGCCGTTGGAGCCGGCAGTGGTCCAGTACTGGGCATCCTTGTTGTACCAGTGAACCACAGGGCTGAAACTGCCGGGAACGCCAGTGGCACGACCAGAGACGCGACCACGGCCACCTGCAGCAACGTAGTCGCGAAGGCCAAGGCTCGACATGAAGGTGAAGTCCACATCGCCAGTTTGGGGGATACCGGAGCGAGAGAAGCTCAGAGCATAGGGGCCATGTAGACCCATGCGGTACTCTTCAGTCTGAACGTGACCGCTGTTCATGTAGTTGTACAAGGCCGTAAAGGGGCCATTGTTGTTGGTTTCAATGTCACGATGAAAGGGTCCGCCGGAGGAGGTCTCAGTTTGCGGAATGATCATGCAGGCATGGATCTCCTCAGGGGACGTGCCGTGGACGCAGTGGACGCCGCGATCGATGTAGCGGTCGGACGAGTAGAACTTGGACCGGGTCTGGCCGTTGACGACGAAGACATCAGAACCCTCCACAGTGGAGGTGGAACCACCAGTGGTGGAGGCGGTGCCGTACGGATATTCGAGGGGAAGAATATCGTTTTTGAGGCGAGCAATGAAGCGTAGCTCGCCAATCTCAGGCTGGGCGGTGATGTGGGTGGCCATGTAAATCAGGCTGTCACCCTCCTTGGCGACGAGGTAGTGGGTGAGGGTCGACGTGGAACATGTGATGGTGATGACGCCTGATGTCTGAGTAGCGGTGACAGTAGCAGTGCCGAGACCCGGAACTGATATGGGTGCCCTGAGAAGCATATTGGAGCTCGTTGCCGCGAAACTTGATGGAGTTGATGTCACAGCTGGAGCGGGATACGGAGAAGACGAGGGCGTTGGACGAGCCGGCGTCTACAACATAGTTATTACCCGATGTCGTATACCCGAAGGCAGCAAGAGCTGAGGAGGCGAATGAGACGGCCGTTAGAAAAGACAGCTGGACGAGCGAGGGTGCCATGACAATGATCGTAAGGAACTCGATCTGGCGAGCCCTTGTAGGTTGGAAGAGTGGGAAGAAGTGAAGTAAAGTGATCAGCGGAGAACCTGGTGGATGGTGGGTTGTTGAAAACGGCACGGCACGCCCGGTAATTATAAGGCCAGAGCATCGACAAGTTCATATGGGACGAACGACGACAGTGTCACAACCGGGGCGACTGCGAGTGTGAATTGTTGTGGATGGGTGTGTGTGTGTACAGTGATTGGCGGAAGCTTATGAACGGCCGAGGTGTCTGGGGATTTGCCCCGAGATTCAGGGACGGGCGACCCGCTGGGTCGGAGCCAGGGGTCCCGCTGCTCGTCTCATGTGTGGCGCGGCCTCGTGAGCAGAGAGTGAGTGGATTCCAGGCCGTATACTGTCTGGAAACTGGCATGACGGTACGTTTGCAATGATAAAGTTGGATGCAGGTGACGCAAGCTCAAGCGCATGCTCGACTGGAGATATCCCGAGGTGCTGGACCATTGCAGGTGGCAGCAAGATTCCCAAACTTGTCTTCGGAACAAGCTTGGAGCGGGGATTTTACCCCAGAATGTCATGCGTCGCTGGCGTTGCCATGTGCCACTAGGTCTGGGCATTGCACTGCATGCATTCTGACATCGATGGTGATGCTGATGGTGGCATGCTTCGCTCACTGGCCAGTTGCACCCAGAGTGACGCTCTAAAGATTCAGCTATGGGCTCCTTTGTGTTGTCACTTCAAATGATCCATGGGCCACAGAGTATGGCGAGATAGCACAAGGCTTGGAGATTCACGACAGATTGCGAAGGGATGACCGAATGGGGAAAAGGGTTTGGGACACGCGCGAGGACTGTGGGGATAGTGAGAGCGGGGAAAGCCGAACCATGGCGATGTATAGGGGTTAACCGCTGCCAGCCACATCGGAATTCCCAAGATGTCCACGCTATGCTTAAACTGCTACAAGCACACCTTCACGCGTTTAATCCTTGCCCTTGTACCCGGACCTGGCGCCTGTGCACTACATTGGCTTCTCAGTTTGGCGGTCTGAATGGTGAGCTATCATCTGAGAGAAGCCGTCCTATCCGCTCTCATCAACATCAAACAATCCCGGAAAGTTGTCACCTTCTCTCCAAAAATCCCATTTCGAGCCTGCTTCTGGACCAGCACGCAGGAACAGTTACCTGTATAGAGCAAAAAAAATTGGAATGAATTGTCGAGGTAACCTGGTAGACTGCAAAGTTCCCAAGCCGAGCCAGGTCCTCGTGTGCTGTATGCGTCGCATGGCGCTGGTGACTGCCGTAAAGTGGCATCCGGCACTCGGCACGCGGCATGCATCACGACATCGATTTGCTCGCTTCGTATTGACCCGCCTCCATCACACTCGGTTTAAGATTGGCGACTCTTGTGTTCCCCTCGCAACAAACTCTCGAATCACATCCCAGCGCAGCTCACCTTCCATCTGCGGCACGACCCAGAATGTGACCCAGGAGCCCCCGCTCACTCTAGGACTAATGTCGGCATTCATGACACGTGCCGCTTCGGGAACATGGAACGGCGAACTCCTCGCATCATCGTTATCCGGTAGTCCCAGTACATCCACCACATCCCCTTCAGGAACTGGACCGGCCGCTTCGGCCTCGAAGATCCACCCTGCCTCCTCGTGAGGGATACTCGGCGGTCGATTCCCAGGTATGTTCTTCAGGAACTTCTGAATCTTGTCCCTGGCCGGGATGTATGCCTTCGCATGTCTGCTGTCCGGAGGCTCTGGCACGTCCTTGCCCAGTATGTCGAGGGCCCTCGTCTCCTCCAGCTCTACGATTCGCATAGCGATCCTCGCAACTAGCCTGGCATCCCACAGGTTTTCTTTGCAATCCAAGGCACCCTTCCTTCGAAGCAGCCGGATTGCGGCCCGCCTCAATATTGGATGCCGACACTTGACTGCAGTATAATACAAGGGTGGCACGATGCCAGATTCAAAGCTGAACCGAGCCCCATCGCCGTCCGGAGCTGCTGCTCCTCTTGCCTCCTCATCCTGCAAGATCTCTCCCGCGACGTCCACTATCGAAGCAAAAGTAGTCATGTGCTCATCGAACGAACACTCGAGGCGAGCGAGTGCCGTGCCGAGATACACTGTCAAGGTCAGGTAATAGAGGCGGCACATTCTTGCAGCGCCTGCTGAGCCTCCGCCCCGCGCAGCTATCAAGACGGCAAACGCCACCTGCCACTGATCTGATCGTCTTGTCAAGTCGGCGCTGCGTGCCCGCCACGCTTTGACTTCTGCGGCCCAGCTTAGACTTGTCGGATCAGCAGTGAATACCCATGCTTTGGCATCCTTGGCAAACCGAAGACCGTCATCGATGATCTCATGTAGGCTGAGCTCGGCATCCTCAAGACGGTCAAACACAATGTTTGCTGGCCGCTGTGGCCTCAACTCGGTTGGGATCGGTACAGGCTTGGCCCCGAAAACGAAAGAAGCGACGCTGAGCCGGGTGTACACAGGAACGAGCTCTCTCCGGATCAGGTCCGCCGCGGGCCCTTGTGCTTCGTGTGGATCCTCCGCCAGCTTGGCTAGTATGGCCCGTCCCTGGATAATGTGCACCATGCGGCGCTCATATCGCCGAGCATAAATTCGATGCAAATGAGAGCAGACATGTGGAGCATGTACGGTAACAGAGGCGTTCCCCTCATGCGGGGCGCTCGGCGTCGGCCACTGTGCAGTGACCTCAAAGCCTTGCCATATTGTCCGGCTGCAAACGGCGTGCAGACGGCATCGCAGCCTTTGAGGTTCTTGGGTGTACGACCATTGCCGCCATAGGCGCTCTGGTGAAGGTTACTGATGACAAGCACAGCGTAACGTACGGCCGGTTCCTCGAAACACAGAGCTGGCACGATACGAGCCCAGAAAGTCGAAGTAGCCTGCGTGAACAGTGACGTGGCAGAACAGTTGCGATAGTAGTGGAACGCGCGTTGGTCGTTGGCATCCCATGCTGCGAATGGACTCATGATCCTGGCAATGCTGGCTCCGCTCGGCAGTGGGGAGGACTGCGATTGAGCCCTGGTTACGCTGGGAGTAGTTATCGCATAACCGTCACACTCCCGACCAGTCTTGGTGCAGCGCTCGCAGGCCGGCTTGACCTCATCGCATTTGACACGGCGGATCCTGGAGAGATGTCAGCTGTCATCTCGGTGGCTACGTACCATGATGGCAGCTGCTGTGCTTACTTGCAAGTGATGCACCCAGTCCGGACCTTTCGCGAACCCTTGCGGCCGTTTCGTTTCGCTACTGATGCAGACGGCGCTGATCCAGTGAAACCAGGACTGTCCGTACCTGCGTTCGATGTTGCCAATTGTGACGATGTAAATTGCCCCTCCATGGCAACGACCAGCATGTTCTGAGGCAGACTGCCCTGTCACAAAACGCTGAGAGGGTTGGCGCAAGTTGCCTTTCGCCCAATAAGATGTTTTGCGAGTGCGAGCTGACGAGACAGAGGATAGAGCGAGAGCTGCTGGGGGCGCCGTCGTCTAATATGTCCTACCCCCAGACGTTCATCGCGGCGAGACAGTGGGGTATCGCGATCCTTCAACCTGGTCTTATTGGTCTGCTCGCACTCTGCTGGCTTAAGTGGCAGAATGGTCGTGGCTTGGCAGGGCTGTGAGCCAGGAGAAAGACGATGTAACTGCCGGGTCCTATCTCGGTCTTCGCCCCCCCGGTCAAGCTATTTCGGGCCTCACAAGCTCTTTTTGGGGCTGCGGATTGACCACTCTAGAGTGTGATTTGGAAAATCTTCTCTGTTGGATAGCGCAGTGGCTGGAATTGATTAGACACGTGGTGCATATTTCAACAGCGGTTTCGTTCAGATTCAAAGGTTCCAATCACGTAGGAGATCAAGACGCCTTACAAGCCTTGCACTTATTTACACATGGATAACAAGGCAGGGAAGCTCAAAATAAGCAGGTCCAAGACCCAGGCCTCATCCAGGCAACCCCGTAACCTTTCAAAACAACGCCAACAGAGAAACATGACTGACCTCGAATATAACCCCCAACGCCGAGCCAATCATTTGACATCCTTCCCCAGGCGATCCATTACGGCACCCCCGGCTTCTCTCTTGCTGCTCGCTTCTTGTCGTCGCAAAAGCTCATCCTCTGAGCCACCCATGTCTCTCAGATTACCAGAAGCTGCACCATCCTATGTAGTGCTGACACAGGTTCTCCAGCTTGGTGGCCTCCGTGATGAGCTTGTTGACCTGCGCGACGATGTCAAGCTCTTCGTTAGGCTTGAAGTCTTTACCCCTCAGCTTCTGCGAAACGCGATCCAGGACCTCAATCGCCCGCGCATTTTGTGCATCGGCGGGGTCCATGACGTTATTACCGTTGACCAGGCTCGTGCTCGGCGCGATGGACGAGTTGGTGCGCGCCCTGGACCTTGCTGTATGCGGCCCACCTACTAGTGCGGAGGCATCGCCGCCTGCTGCCGCGAGTAGCTCCGTCGGTGCCACGTCGGCATCGAGCATTGAAGGCCGGCGACCGCGAGGACCTGTCTGCGACGCCGTGGGACCAGCGATGGCCTGTTCACGTTCGGACCGGAAGTTTGGTCCCGTTGGACTTGCCGCATTCGTAAGGCGCCAAGTCAGCAGGGGATCGTGGATGAACTGCAGTCATGTTAGTTGAATAATCCTCAGGGTGTTTCGAGCAGCTCAAGGCCATTCGACTTACAGCTTCCAAAACGGCCATGACGCTTTCCTTATTCTCGCGCAGAACCCGCATCACATGCTCGCATGTGATTCTGAAGCTGCCCTCGATGTTGCTAACCTCCATGGCATACGTCAACATGCGCGTGAGGCGGAAGGGCACGCGTTCCGGATACTTCTCGCGTTTCATTGCGACTTCGAAGCAATCACCGAAATCAATGTGAATGATTTTGCCGGTGACACGATCTAGCATTAGGTTCGAAGGGTGACGATCACCCAGACCCAGGATGTAGCCGACCATGGACATGACGCCGAGAGAGCGCGTGTAGTTGGTGCGCCGCTCGAGCCAGGCCTCAGAACTCTTACTCTTGAGCCACAGTACGCGGTACAGATCTTGGCCGGTGGTGTTATCAAGCGCGTAGCCAAAGACCTCCACCTTCTGCATGAGAGTCAAGTTGTCATAGTCGGGAGCCATCTGCAACATTATCCGATGCTCAATGTTCAACAAGATCTTGCGGCTCTCACGATATTCCCTAATAAGTACGTGGAGCGTGTCGCTATTTGGCACCCAGCCAAGGAGACCTGAGCTCTGCGACAGCGGAATCGCTGGATAACGCTCGATATTGAGATGTCGCTTGTAGCACTCCGAGTCGTTCGCCAGCAGCGTGTTGCAAAGGCCAAACAATTGCATGACACGTTCGTCTTGGCGAATGTCCTCGTGGCCTTTGAGGAGGAACGCGTATCGCACACCGTCGCTGCCGCCAATCGTTATCTTACGCGGGCGCTGCTTGCTGTTGATGACCGAAAAGGTGCCCTCAAAATCCATGATACGGACAATGGGCTTTCCGCTTCGATACGTTCCAGGTACGGCGAGGTCGAGATCCTTGGCGCTAAGCAGCTTGGGTGAGCAGTAGGGTAGTTCCAGGCTCGTGAGCTGCGGCAACTGTCGCGATATGCGACGGAAGACTTGGTAGTACAAGTCCCAGGCTTGGTTGAGGTCGTTCACATCTCGGCTCGACTCATACTGTCGGCACCACTCCCGCGCCTCCGTCAGGTCCCTACCAAACGTTTGCGCGAACGAGATCTCTCTAAGTGTCTCAGGCCCGCGCTCCAGCTGGTCATGGAGGGGCTCAAGAGTCGAGAACATGCCCTCGATATTATGATCGCCAAAGTACAGTCGTGATGCCTCTTCCAGACCCTCGTGCCACTGCTCGTGCCATAGGACGGCAACCCTGATAAGTTCGTTACTGACGACATCTGCCTGGGAGACGAGATTGGCCGAGTGCTGACGCATACTATCCATAATCTGCGCTGCGGATCGGGAGCGGCGGGCACTGTGCCACGACTTTGTGGCCACAGTGAGAGGGTAAATGAGGGCCTGCGGGTGGGCTCTGCCGACATCAGCCAGAAGGCTGTGAATCGTCTGCTGCACGCGACGAGACTGTTGGTTGATGCGGGCGATGAGCTGAGGAATGACTTCAAGCCAAGTATCAACGCTAACATTGGTGAAGCCCTCAGTGACTGCAGCGTTGACGTCAGCACTCGAGCCGTGTGTGAACCATAATGTAAGGAGACGCAATGTGTCCTGCAGCGAGCTGCCAGATGACAGAGCGATAGACTTGAAGAAGCCCCGCACCGCCGGGACGACATGATCGACGATCATGGCCTGGTCCGCCCGGTTAAGTTCGCTCCTGCTGGTCAACGCCTGCACAATCTCGAAGTTGGCTAACGCCCATGCGTGCCACGCCTTGTACCAACGTGGGTTATACTTGGCCGCCTGGGAGTAGGCAGTTAATATGTCCTGAACGTTTTCGTATTGCCATGTTTCCTTATTGAGCGCAATGAGCCACTCGCCCTGTCTGAGATAACACTTTGCGAGGAGCACCGTCTGGTCCTGGAGGGCACGCTGGGTCTGAGGCGCCATGATGCCCCCCTCCATACCTTGCGGGAAGTTGTACTCTTGGCTCATGTCTACACCTTGTTGTCCTTGGGCGGTGAGATGCGCCTTGGTGACCTCGTGTCGGTGTGCCGAATCGTTAGTAAACTTGCGCAGACAGTAGAGAGTCTTCTCCGAGATACCCGAAGTCTTATTCGCGGGTTGCTGGCCGACTTCCCATTCGAACTTGAGCATGGCATAGATGATTTGCGATGGGACGTTCCGGGGTAGACCCACGTTGGGCTGCTGGGGTCGGTCATTCCAATATGGGATCATGGACGTAAGCGAGGACTCGGTTCCGATGAGCTGTTTCAGCGACTTTTCGGCCAAGCCCATACGACCCGACTTGCGACAAAGGTTGGCAAACTTGATCCACATGTGCATATTCTCGGAGGGAGTGATGACAAGCTGCCTGAGACGAAGCATGCGCTGCCAAAGGTCCACGTTACGTTGACACCCCTTGAGGCGCTTCTCCCAAGTGCGTCGCATGGTAGCGCGCTTCTTCTCATCTGTCTGCTTGTAGAAGATAAGCTCTTCGAGTTCGGCCAGCATTTGGACGCGAACGACGACCGTGTACGCCCGGTTGTATGACTCGCTGACCAGGGCACTGAGTTCTGTATCAAGACCCTCACGCGTCTGCTGCACGCAGTTCAACGCTTCTCGGAACTGGTTGCGATGCAGGGCGAGAATGGCGCCAAAGAACGAGCGATCCGTCGAGAAACGCTTCATCGACTGGAGATAGTTGTCCATGGAATCCCACTTAGACAGACCCCAGGCGGCGGCCGTGGCCAGAGGAGCAATGAGGCGCTGCACTTCCGGCGACGAGTTAGACCAAGTGTTGCCGGCAATGTTCGCAAGAGCCTCCCATTCGCCCAGGGCGTGCAGGCAGCGCATCTTGCCCATGATGATATCGACAGGAACAGCTTGGTCTTCAGGGATGTCTTGCTCCCTTTTATTGTAAAAGTCAAGAGCTTCCTCCCAGCGCTCCAGCTTCTCGAACCATGTCTCTCTAAGCTGGATACCTTCCTTATAGAGCTGGGCCTTGCGGAGGATGCCAATGGCCGCATCGGACTGCTGCAGGTGATTGTTGATGCCGATGAGAGCCTCGACCGCCCCACTGCTCTGGTCCTGGAGGAATTCAAGCTCCTTGTAGTGGAGGGCCTTGGCGTAGGCATGGCAGCGACCTGCCTGATGGCCAAGGACACGAATGTCGATTGGTAGCGCCTTGTCATCATGTTCCATAAACTCAGCGAGATTAAGCAAAAGTCCCAGCAGGTCCGGGGGCACATTCTCCGACTTTATCGCATTCTCGATGTTTTGGATCAGCTCGTCCTGAAACTGCTCGTACAACTCAGACCAGCACGAAACAAATGCTGAGTTGAAAAGTTCTCGGGCGAGTGGTAGGTAGGAGCTGGCCAGAGCGGCGCATGCACGCAGAGCGTGGTTGGGGGATTCTGCCAAAAGAGTCGTAGAGAAGCGACGGAGCCATTCCTGCCAGTCCTCCTTGGTCGACTTTCCCTTCGTGTCCCATGCCGTTTTGAGGTGAATGGCATTCATCTCAAGCTTTTTGGAACCCAGGTCAGAAAAGATTTGGTCATCGACTCGATCTACGAATCTATCGGCAGAGCCAATGTCTTGCGGCAGCACTTCGCCCTTGGCAAGCTTGCTCGTGAGTAGCTCGTAGTTGGCATGTTGGATCTGGTGCTCCGCGAGGATTTTGTTCACGTTGCCCATGAAGTGTGTGTAGTCTTTTCCTAGCTGCTGAATCAACGCGCAGAGAGTGTCCAGAGCGGCAACTCGCAAGGCCGGATCACCACCGCTGAGCACGCGGTTCAGTGGGTGAATAATCTTGGCCGCATAGTCGTTCAGGTTCACTTGATGGGATATCTTGCCAATCGTCTCAATGGCTTGTTTGCGGAGAAACGTTGGCTGGCCCTGCTTCTCGAATGTGCGAACAATAACGGGAATAATCAGATGCATGTACTCCTCGCTGCTTGATCCGAACACAAGAAAGGCGTGAAGAACCCTTTCTGAAGGAATGCGTCGTGCCGAGGTATCCACCTCTAGGGCTCCAAGCATCAAGGGGAGGAGACCAGCAAGATAAATCTTGAACTCGCCTTCTAGTCCACGAGAAATCGCTTCGACAAGTGACAGAATGGTAGGCTGAAGGCCGAGCTTAGGATTCCAGTACTCCTGGCAGGCTTCTACAATCTGCGGTAAGAAGTTCCTAATGTGCTGCCGCACGATGCTAACGAGCGTAGCGAGCTGGCTGAAGTAAGACTCAAGTCTCTTGTTCGAGGCAGCCCTGATGACAGCGAGGAAGGCCGGAATGATTCTGTCGAGAAAACTGACGCACTCGAGTCCGAGCGTCCGGAAAATGTTCATAATGGCTTCGATGACCGCAGGATGATGCGCCACGAGAGAGTTATCCTTGAGGATCTGTAGCAAAGAGTTGATCACCACAGTGGGGAAATATTCTTTGTTGGAGGGCGTGAGACCGGACATCATGAGGGCCACGTCGCTGACCGGGGTCACTTCGGCTCGTCGCTGGACTTCAGGTCGGCGCTGTTCGACCTGTTGGTACTTGTAAGGATCGAGGGCACCCAAGATACCCATAAGTTTGATCGTTTCTTGTCGAAGTGTACCTCGATGATCTTCAGTGCGTACTATACCCTGTAGAATTTCCAGGAGCTCAGGGTATTCAAGATATGGTTCAATGACATAGCCAGAGTTGCTGGCCATCTGGCCGAGCGCGTGGAGAGCCGCTTCGCGTTTGAGGCTTGAGCTCTGGTCTTGAAGCGCCTCTATGATGAGGGGCATAAGCTTGTCCTTGTATGGGAGAATATCTTCGCCGCCGACTGTGGCAAGTTCTCCTATGGCTCTCAGAATTGTGGCGGCCACGACTGGCGTCGGGTCCTTGGCCTTGGGGATGAGCACTGACATCATCGGGTCGACGTAAGGCTTAACAAGCCCTTGAGCGTTTTGAACAAGAAGACTCAAAAGCTTCGCGCTTTCCTCCTTATTGCGGGCGACGTCTGAGAACTCAAGTTCCGTCAATAATTGGATTAACGTCTTTCGAAGGGAGGGAATGACATAGGCGGGGTTGTGACGTGCCAGTCGGCCTATAATCGAGATGGCAACTTCTCGGATAGAGAAGACCTCGTCATTCAAAGCGAAGAAAAGAGTACGGATGTTCTCTGCTTTGGCAAGATGGCGATCGAAACGCTCGTCAAGCGCCGCCAGTACGGTCCGCCTGATAGGCGGCTCGGGGTCCGACACGCCGACTGTGAGAAGCCTTTCGATGACGTCGCCCACCACTTGCAAAGCGTGATAGCTCGTCTGGTTCACGATGGGATCCCTGACATAAAGCTGGCAGCAGGTCAAGGCAGCCGCCTCGCGGATTTCACAGTCTTCGTCCTCAACGTACTTGATGGCGACGTCTCGGACAAATTCGTTGAGAACGTGTCCAGTAAAGTCAAAGCTGCCGAGAGTGTTCAGGGCCAGCTTGATCTCGGCCTTGCGATGTTCATAAGCCTGAGGATCCTTGGCATCCTTGGTGATAACCGGTGCCGAAGTCAGGGAGTTAGGATGAGGGGCGCCCAACGGTTTGAAAGGTTCGCCACAAAGGACCATGCTCAGCATGTCCAGAAGCCGGTTCCGGATGGTGTCTTGTGCGGGAGGAATATAAAATGCCATATCCACAAGGGCTTGTGTCAACTTTGGTGTCAAGTCGCACTGGAAAATGGGATCGAGGAGGGCTTCCATGTACTTGCTGAGTGTCTGGCCGACAGCCACAGCAAGGCGGCTGATGCACTCAAACACGGCGTCAACGGAACCGCGCTTGCGAGCCTGCACACTCAGCCCTTCGCGGATGAAGATCATGAGATTGTCAAGATAGGGAGCGATGGCGCTCTTGACAGAGTTGGCGATATTGCCTATTGCCAGAAAAGCATCTGTCCGTTCTTTGTCCTTCTTCAGCATGCCGATCAGGTAGACCATGAATTTGTGGAGGTAGCTCTGGTCAAACTCGGCGGGAGAGTAGCTGGCAAGGTCGGGGATCAAGAGGACCACCGTCTTCCGGATGGTGCCATCTTTATGCTCCTTATAGCGCAGAACAATCTCGCAAGCTTCGGGATAATGGTCTTGCATGAACATGCCGCCTTGTTCCAACAGCTCTTTCAGCATGAGGAGAGACGCGTGTATGTATTCCACAGCGCCGTTCTGGAGACCTCGGAGAAGCTCGCTGTATGCCTTTTCCATCCAGGCCTGCTTCATTTCTTGGTCGCGCTCACGAATGATGCGGAAACAGGCAGCGATCGTATCGGCAGATGTAGAGCGGATGAGTTGTCGGCTGTCGCGCAAACTGTTCCATATGAGATCAAGCACCAAGCCAACGTAGTTGTACATCAGTGTCGGAGCTTGTCTGGCGAGCTCGCGCAGGACCAAGGCGGCGCTGTATCGGCGCTCCTCTACACGCTCGTTTTGTAGCCACTCAAGGGCAAATTGGGTTTCAGACTCAACAAGCTCGCTGATGACGGAACCCCCAGGGCGACACATTTTGCCGAGAGTGACAGCAGCAGCTTGCATGGGGCTCATATCCTTGCCCCTAAGGATAGCCTTCAGGTTCTGGAGAAAGCGAGCATATTTCGTGGCCTGGTCGGTTGCATCAATATCCACAATGCTGTCCAGGGCGTAGACACCGCCCAAACGTTCGGCCGAGTCGCTGCCGTGAGCAATGAGTTGAGTAATTCGGGTGTTCACCGCATGGTAAATGTTGTTGAAATGATCCGGCTGAAGATCTGTAGGTTGGCCGTCAGTAGTGTATTTAGTCGGGATCAATGACGACGGGCATCACGAACCTCGGTGGCACACCAGAACCAGCTCTCGCAGTTGAAGAGCGGCGCGTTTTCTTACATCGTCACTGACCCGACTGCAGTGAGTTAGCCATGGTTAACAAAGGTCGGAACTAGGCACGTACCTCGATCGGAGGTCTCTCGTGATCGTCTCCAATCGCTCGAGAGCGATCTGTTGTTGCGTGGCCATATTCCTCCGCTACTGGCGAGCCAGAGCACCAGTCTCGAGAATGGTCACACCATCAAACGGCGCCTGCCTTTGTAGAGGTACTTGTTCCAAATGCGTGATGGCGTCGCGGGGCACAACAGAGTGCGAGATTGGAGTGGAAAGGAGCGCGACAAGGCGCGGGTTGTAAGCGTCGTCGGGAATCGTGATTGTCGGTGTGTAGCTTGGGAGAATCCGCGATGCATACGCTGGCAGGTGTGTGCGTCAGGAGTCAGATCAGATACAACCGCTCAGGCTAGCTTTCTGAAGGCGAGGCTGAATGTTGTTTGGCACATCACAAGACGAGCAGCCGAGCGTGTGCCAGTACTGGGGCAAGAACACAGTGTATGTCTACCCCGTACTGTATCAGTGTCGGCACCATCCTGGCGGTTCACATGCAGTGGAAGATCCTTGCGCACAGTGCGCCCGTTAGGTAGCAAATAGTCAGATGTGAAGAGCCAAATGCGGAGCTTCCCCAGCAGCTCCACAGCAAGGTGGATTCGGTATCTTATCAGCTGGACCGTCAAGCGCAATCATCGTTGTTAACTCTTACCGAAATCATTTCTCATCATTCCCCAAGTAGAGAAGCAATTTTCCTCTCTTCTCCGCCGACACCGAACCATCAAGATTGCGACCTGATCATCACCCGAAAAACGAATTATCTTGTCTCATTGTACAATGGGTAACGACGGCGGCTCTATACCGAAGCGCCGCGAACTTGTCAAGAACGCAGCCCGCGCTCTGACCGTCAGCGAGCTCAAGGCCAACGCCCACGAATCCCTCACTCATGCCTGGTCGCATGATCCATTGACAAATGCTCCGCTGGACCTCGATGCCGTTGTCTCCGACTGGCGTGGGCGTCTGTACAACTACGAGTCCACCCTACACTTCCTCCTTCCTGCCGTCGATCCCGCCGCAAACACGATTGATGAGACGCAGGCCAATGCGTTTGCCGCCACAGCCATCCACTCGCTGCGTGACATTGTCAAGCTGAAGTTTACACGGTCCGGGGATAAGGTCAAAGACGCGAGAGTATGCCCGGTATCATTGAAGGAGCTAGGACCTGCGACCCGGTCCGTCTACCTTGTGCCCTGTGGACACGTCTTTGCAGACGTAGGCATGAAGCAGATCCAGGACAACTCGTGTCCCGAATGCAGCGAACCTTTCACCACCAATAATATTATACCGATTCTTCCTGTCGACGAGGCCGAGACAGAAAGAATGGTGCGGCGCGTGGAAGATCTCCGTGCCGCAGGCTTAACACACAGCCTAAAGAAGGACAAATCTACTGGCAAGAAGAAGCGCAAGGCTGATGACACCAAGGACGAGGCGTCAGACAAACGTCAAGCAACTGTAGAGATGCCCAGAGTCAAGAAGAACTCGCATAGTCGAACAAGCGGCATCAATAACGCATTCGCCGCAAACTTGACGGCACGAGTGTTAGCTGAGCAGGATGAGCTGCACAAGAGGAGGAAGCTGGCAGCCAGGAGTTAGTCAGATGGACATGCTCCGGGAGCAATAACTTGGCTTTACGACGCAGACACGACAACATGATACCCTTTTAGTCATCAAATCTTGACGCAACTACATGATGATGACTTCAATATATTTGCCAGACGACTCAAAGCTCATCCTTGCCCTTGGGCGTCGGAGGCTCCAGAAGCTCATCACACGCCGCAGGCGTGCCGACCTCCATCTTGTACACGCACTTCTCTGCTTCAGTGACCCTCCACAACTCCTCCGTCTCGCTGCAGGCCAGCCACACGTCAGTCTTACGTCGAGGTCCATTCCAGCAGCTTTGTCCGTCCTCGTACCGCAGTACCATGCGCATGCCCTTCCCGAGGCCCTTACCATCCCGGCGCTCTTCCTCATCAGCCATTTCGCGGTCGATACGGTTGAAGTTTCCCATGTTGGTGTTTCCATGGCCCTTCTTTGACTTCTGGCTAGTCTTGGCCATCCAGCAGAGCTCGTACTCGTACTCGCCCGCCTCTGTGGAGACGCATTTGTCCTTGAGCACCCGGAAGATATCATCAAGACCATAGTCCTTGGTGAGTTCTTGTTGCTGATCGGCCAGCTCCTTCTCCTTCTTGGCGACGTCCTTTCCAGCAGCTTCGGATGCTTCGCGGGCAGCCTTGACAAGATGTGATTCAGTACCAGGCTTGGCGTTGTCAACGAGGACACCATTCTCGATGAGCCACAGTCGGGCATTGCTGAGCTGGGTGTGGATGAACTCGCGAGCGAACGCGGGAAGATAGGCCTCGAAGTTGTACACTATCATATCTTAGCACGCGAGTGATCCGGGTGGGGGGGCTGGTGGTAGACTCACGAATGTCAGTGTCAGTCGTGTCATCGTCCTCAAATTCCTTCCAGTTGATGCCAGTGCTTTCTGTGTCATCGGACAGAATGTCGTCTAGCTCCTCCTGCGTGATAGCGACCTTGGCATCCGCGGCCTTGGCAGCATAGTCCTCCCATCCCTTGACAGCTGATTTGACGCCCTCATCGTTAAAGTTGGGGTTATGGTCCTCTTTGAACCTGCGGAGGATACCCTCGAGCTCCTCGACCTTGGAGCGCAGTTCCTTACGCTCTTCAGCAATCTCATGGAGAGTATCACGGAGTTCATCGATGCGCTCCTTGGCGAGACCGACAAGAACCCCAAGCTTGCCGCCGACACCGCCGCCCTTAATGACCTTGCCCTTCTCCGACTGCTGAGCGTCCTCATACTTCTTCTCGAGCTCGACTTTCTTCGCAGCCAGCCCAGCAATCTCGGTTTCGAGACTGGCGATCTTAGCTTCAACACGGCGGCGCAGTTCCTTGGATTCCTTCGCCATGGTCCTCCGCTTCTTTGCAGCTTTTTCAACGGCCTTCTTGCGTTCTTCTTCGACACGGCGGTACTGCTTGCCAATCTCGGCGCAGCGGTTCTCGCACTTCACACCGCCAGCACCGGTGGACTCCTCACTGCCGTCGCAGCACAGATCGTAATCACAGATGCCGTCGTTGACGAACATGAATGGAATGTAAGAGCCTCTGTGGCCCTCATTGGCGCACCAGAAACCTGGCAGGGCGTGCGCCGTGCCTGTCGTGCCAGACGCGGAGCCTGGGAGTGGTTGTGGTGGGGAGAGGGTGTCGATGCTGGCACAGGCAGCTGTGCCCGGTTCGTCAGAGCCATCAGGGCAGTCACATGTGTTGTCGTTAATCTGTTCCAGCTTTAAGCGAACGTCGGGGTGGCTGATGCACGAGAAGGAATCTGTCTCGTAGAACTTGGCAACTGGACACGTTAGACTGAATTGTCCACCTACACACAAGCAGCGGCAAACAAGGTTCTCAAACTCACATTCGGGGCCAACGCCTCGTGGCAGAGAGGCGGTCGATGCCGTGCTTACTGATAACAAGGTGCTCAAAAGCACCAGACTCTTATTGTGCCGCATTGTGATCGTGGCGGTTAATTCCACGTTGAGAAGTGTGACAACTCTGCAAGTCCGTCCAGCGCTGCATTGATGTACCTGAGTAGTAAGAAAGCTCCAGCTCATCCAAAATGCTCCAGCAGCCCCCGGACAGGGGTCTGGAGGCCCCTGCAGCCGTCATCACGTGTAGATAGTCCCTGAAACTCTTATCAGTGTCCAAGGACTCGAGTGACTGCCCCTCCAAATCGCGGGGCAACCTCCAATATTTTCATTGTTGTCGCCTATTTACTCAACAGGTAATCAGTAGTGACGCCTAAACCTGAGCCCTTCCTCCCGGGCTTCGATATGCCTTCCGAAGCCGTCAATACATCAGTGGAAGGGCTGAATGTCCTTACTGCCCAGGCTGTTCATCTCCTGCAGCAGTTGGAGCCTGTTCTTCTTCAGATCAACAGCGGCAAAGACACACCAGAGCCGACCGTCGACCAAGCAGCATCGCAGATTGACGCACTGGCACTGGCTCGCGATTCCGCCACTCTCATCCGTGCCCATTCGACCAAGATCTCCGTGTTGATCATCAATGAGCCTTTTACGCCGTCAGCTATAAATAAGGTCCTTCGCGAGCTTGTCGGCAGCGCCATCCAGGGAATTGCCTCTGCTGCACAGACCTGCACAGCCGAGCGATACACTTCCACCGTCAGGAAAGACTTGGCTTGGAAGTCCTACACGGTGCTAAAGGAGTTGAGGGAACTGCTCCAGAAAATTCCGAAAGATGGCAAAATTCTCACGGGAGACAAGAAGACTGGGGCTGCGAGCAAGACTGGCAAGGGCAGTATCATAGCCACGGGAACCCTCTGGGCAGCATGCGATGAAGTCACGCGCTTCTGTAACGCCGGTGTGGGCGGCTGTTTTATCAATAAGGTGGAGGAGTTCCGCGCGACGCTCAAGGATGTCATGGAGGAGCTCAAAGAATGGGGCGACGAAGTGCCCGAGGATGAGGACGAGGACGAAAACGATGAAGCTGGCGACGCTGAAGATAACGACTCTGGACTTGGCTCCATGATGCCCTCAGCGCAAGAGATGGTCGACGACATCATGGGCGCACAGCAAACAATACCTCGCGACGACCCGGATAAGATTCGAGAGCGACTGGACTCGTGCCTCAAACGACTTCGTCTGACTACGCTGCTCTACCAAGCAATTATCAAGAGGAGACTGAAAATCCTTCCTTCATTCCCGACTGAACCATCCCTGAATATTCCCCAGAGACTGGATAACGTGATGGACTTGCTGAGGAAGCTACCCAACCAGTTTGACGAACTGGCAGGTGCATTCTACGAGTTGGAACCAGATGAGATCGACAGCGCGATGGACCAATGCTTTGTGGGCGTGCGCAAGATTTCCGATCATATGTTCAAGCCGTGGGCTGCGGACCGGGACGAGTTCTCGGACTGGGCCGAAAAGTTCCAGGAGCAAATCAAGAAGTATTAGAATGGGTGAATCATTGCACTCGGCAACACTCGCATGGGTCTCAATCGTATCAAAACTTTCCCGTGCATTCGCTTCGCTCGTGCAAGTGATGACGAATGGCTGTGAGCGCCTGCTGTAGCCACTGTGCCTATATACACCACCATTCGTCCTCCAGAAGCATTCTTTGTGAGGTAGGTACATTGTGGTAATCTATACCACGCATTGCTATTACACCTGTGTGGTACTCAGGCTTTCCGCTATTGTTGCCCAGCATCCATCCACACTGTCGTCTGGAGGGAAGCGACTGAACTTCGGGACACGGATGCAACTGCCCGTGGCAGTGCAGTCAGCTCGATCGTGGCTGCCAACGCATCGAGTTACATCTGATTTCTTGGTCAACGGCTAGCATGTGATCACCTTCTCATGGCAGTCAACGAGCAGCTGCCAATCTGCGTCCTATTCACTGCGCAATCATTATGTCTCTTCTCACTTGGAGACGCCAAAGACCCAGCACCCATTACCCATCGTTAAAGCTACTTGTTACCAATATTGAGCAGGCTAGTATTTTAGGACTGCCTCTCAAACTGCATCATGCGCGTCGCTGTCGTCGCTGCCGTTCTCGCCGCCATCACTGAGGGCCTTCTTCCGATGCCCACCGAGCCGATCTTCACGCTCGAGCTTGGCCCTGGGAGCATCCGCACCGTTACAGAAGCCGGGAAAAGGCGTCTTGAAACTGTAATCTTCTTTATTTCCGCATAACAGACAGCTTCTGACATCTTCTAGGCTGGCTACGACTATGCCGACCTAACACACTCGTCGATCCGGGCTGCTCGGGACAATGGCGGGTCTACAGGCAACGGTCCAAAGTCTCCAATGCCACCTCAGGACAATGCACTCGACCAATTTGTAACGCTCAACGCAACTGCCTTGCGAGAGAATCTCCTAGGTTTAACTGAATTCCATACGCGATACTATCAATCACGGACCGGCATTCAGTCATCAAAGTGGCTCCTGGGCCGCATTCATGCCTACCTGAGTGGCGCAAGGTCTCGAGGCGTCAAGAGAGCATCTTTCAGGGTTGTGGACCATAACTGGGAGGGTCAAAAGAGCATCATCGTCTCTCTCAAGGGCAAAGGTAACGGTATAGTTGTGCTCGGCGCTCATCAAGACTCGATCAACGGGCTAGATCCGATAAAAGGTCATGCTCCCGGCGCAGGTACGTTGATGAGCAGCTGAAGAGTGACACATGCTGTTCCTCACCATTCAATAGATGACAACGGCACCGGCAGTATTACAATATTGGAAGCCCTCCGCGCGATCCTCGACAGCGACTTAGCCGTCAAAGACAGCGAACACACACTTGAATTCCACTGGTACGCAGGCGAGGAGGCCGGACTCCTGGGCAGTAACGCAATCTTCAATGAGTACGCACACGACCATGTCAACGTTGTAGCTATGCTCAATTTCGACATGACGGGCTATGTTAAGCCTAACACAAAGCCGACGATGGGTGTCATAACCGACAACGTTGACCCCAAGCTCACGCAAAGGCTGCGGGAGATTATTGAGAAAGTAAGTCAGGCAGAATTCACAAGATAGGATTCCAAGCTGATTAATTGAAGTATTGTTCCCTTGGATGGACTGACACTACATGCGGTTATGAGTGTTCAGACCATGCTTCGGCAACCCTCAATGGCTTCCCGTCTGCATTCATCTTTGAATCGATCTTCGAAAACGCGAATGAATACATCCATACACCAGAAGACACAGTCGAGAAGGTGGACTTTGGGCACGTGTATGAGTTCACGAAGCTCGCGATTGCTGCCGCCTACGAGCTCGCGTGGTGAGGATTGGTAGTGCCAGTGGGCAACATGACACCGAGCAACGCTGTTCCACTCTTTGGATGGAAACCGTGCAACCTAGAATTGTCTTTCGAGAAACCAGCATACATGAGTTGGTATTCTATCGTATCGCTGTCAGTCGGCGAGCAATGAATCAACCCCTGCAGAGGATGTATCGTAAAACAACCGCAGTTGTTGCACCGGGACATGGGGCCATGCCAGGTAGTGGAGATGGACGCACAGCTCGTAAATAACGTCGTATCGACGCGAGTAAGACACGTAGTTTTGCACATTGCTACCACTCCAAATAATGGTGCGTTTCCACTCCGGACTAATTCCTCGCTCTTCGGTACCGAGTCTTGACGTCATGATTTGGACGTGCCTCATCTTATTCGTACCATCGTACTGATCCTTCGTGAACAGACCAGAGACGGGCTGGGAAGGAAAACAATATAATAGAGAGATGATCTGCGCTTTTCGAGGAGTGCGAAATATGACCTGGCGTATAGACAACATCAATTGCCGCCATTCATTCGAACGGCCATGCCAGCACTAAAAATCCTGGTGGTCGGTGGTGGCATCGCCGGCCCCACTCTTGCTTTTTGGCTGGCTCACCTCGGCCACGATGTTACCATTCTCGAACGAACAGAGTCGCTTCGCGCACAAGGCCAGCAGATCGACCTTCGCGGCCAAGCCGTCAGCGTTATCCGTCGCATGGGGCTCGTCGACGAAGTCCGCGCCCATGTTGTGGATGAGGAGGGCATTCAATTCGTCGACACCGACAACCGTCGCCAGGCAATGTTTCGCGCCAACAAGACCGGACAGGGCGCCCAGACATTCACCTCTGAGTTTGAAATAATGCGCGGTAGTCTGGTGCGCATTCTGGCCGACGCCGCAACAGCACGTGGGGCCAAATTCCGTTTTGGTACCACTGTCAAGAGACTCGAGCAGAAAGGCAATGCTGTGAACGTTGCCTTTGAAGACAGCACCACTGAGACCTACGACCTTGTCATCGGAGCCGACGGACAGAGCTCTCGCACGCGTCGGATGATTATGCAGCCGGAGGAAGAGCGGTACACTCACCTGAATGGCTTCTTCTGCTACTTTACTATCCCGCGGGAACCAGTTGATACCAACTTCTGCACCGTTTTCACCTCCCCCAATAAGAGCATGTGCCTGCGCGCCGACAACCCAGAGACTGTGCAGGCGTACTTGGGCATTTATCCGCGTGATGATGCCCTTCGGAAAACGTTGCGTGATTCAATGGCCACCCGGGATCCTGATGCCCAAAAGCGACTTTACACGGAATTGTTCAAGAATGAGGGGTGGCAAGCATCATGTATCGTCAAGGGCATGAACGAGACGAGCAACTTCTACTGCCAGGAGACTGCACAGGTCAAAACGAAGATTTGGTCGAAGGGGCGTGTCGTCCTTCTGGGAGACGCTGCGCACTGCGCCAGCCCCGTCACTGGACTGGGTACTACGTCAGCCATTGTCGGAGCCTACGTCCTCGCAGGCGAGATTGCCACACACTGTGGAGGCGCAGATAAGGAGGGAATCAGTGATATCGACGGCGCTTTGCTAGCTTACGACCAAACGCTACGGCCGTTCGTCGACAGGGTACAGCAGCTCTTCCCTGGCGTCCCCTGGATAGCATTTCCAACCTCGTGGTTTTGGGTCTGGGTTTCGAACTCGGCGTGGTGGGTGCTGTCATGGCTTCAAGTGGATAAGCTTGCCCAATATTTTGCATCCGACGACGTCAAGGGCTGGACCTTACCAGATTATCCCATCATGCAATTGTAATCTTTCCCTCAATGAATCCGCAAGATGGCACAGTGTGCGACTCAACCGTCCACGCCGAATAGCGAAGGCGTGTAAGATGGATGTATTTCAAAGTAGTTGACCAACCGCGCGGAAAATTCGATGGCTACACGAATGCTGCTTGACGTGATGCTCATTATAAACATTCTGAGTAGTAAGTACTGAAGAAACCGACATAATTCGTATCCCGACAAAAAATATTACAGGTAAAGCTCAATCAATCGTGCCCAATGTGGAAGGGACTGACTGGCCTTGAAATGAGCGCGACTGTGTGGGCTCTTGGCCATCGCTATGTCGCCTCATTCAGACGCTGTCTCTCTCAACAGAGCGCTTGTCGTCATGGTGCGCCGCGTCTCCCTTTTCATCGCCATTCTGGACCCCACCCTGTTGCGCAATGCTCTGGCGCTGAATGAATGTGGTCTTGGGCCTCCATGCAACACTCATGCGAGCCGAAGAAACCTCCGTGTAAAGCTCGTCTACCTCCTCTAGGGACAGCCCCTTGGTCTCATATATGAAAAAATAGACAAAGGCAATGCAGATGAAGCAACAGCCGAACCAGATGAAGAAGATCTTAGACTGCAGGTTGGCATTTCCCGGGCCATAGTTCACCAAGTAGGGGGTCGAATAGGCAATGGCCCAGTTGAGAAGCCACTGTTTATATGAGTTAGCAGATGAGATCAGTAGTCATTGCTAGGAATCGCAAAACTTACGTTGGTGGCCGTGGTGATACTCAAACTCCTGGCGCGGAATTTTAAGGGGAAGATTTCGCCCGTTACGACCCAGGCGAGAGGTCCCCAAGTTGAAGCAAAGAAGAATATGTAAATACAGACGAAAGCAATGCCAGCCTTCTGCGCATCGACATTGTGGACAATGATGTTCCCAGAGGAGTCCTGACTAGTGGTGGATGTGCCCAGGACTGCTACAAGCAGCTGGCTTATGCACATGCCCACAGCGCCCCACAGAAGCAGCGGTCGACGACCAAATTTGTCAACGGCGTATAGACCAGGAAGGGTAGACACCACGTTGATACTCGACGTAATCATCTGGATTGTGAATGCGTTGTTGATGCCGGAGTTCTTGAAGTACCTGCAAGCTTTGTGTTAGAGCCGTCTGCGGTATATCCAATGCCTGAGTTATACGTACTGAGTGCCATAGTAGAAGATGAAGTTGATTCCGGTGAGCTGTTGAAGGGCTTGTAGTCCATACCAGTTAATTGGCGCTTGATCATGTGACCTCGGAAGCAGTCGAGGTAGCTACTCTTGCCAAGAGACATCTCGAATTCGTGGTTGGCAACAATCTCATGTAGCTCAGTTTGGATCGAAGGCGCATCGGAAGGAAGCCTGCGCAGTCTGCTCAGCGCATTCGCAGCCTTATCCAACTGGCCCTTCTTGATGAGGTAGCGAGGCGTCTCGGGCAAGACAAGCATACCGCCGATGAGGATCAGGGCCCAAGCAAACTGAATAGCGATGGGAATGCGATAAGAACCCGTGTCGTTTCGATCCTTGGTAGAGTAGTCCACAATGGCGGCTAGCAGCAAGCCAATTGTGATGGCGAGCTGGTAGGCGCCGACGATGGCACCTCTGATCCATTTCGGAGCAGTCTCAGACTGGTACAGCGGCACCACAGCGGACAACACGCCGACTCCGAAGCCGGCGAAGAATCTTCCAGCCAGGAATGGAGGCAAATTGGTAGCTATCGTCTGAAGAATCACACCCAAGATGAAAATGACGGATGAGACGACAAGCGCGAGGCGACGTCCGATATAGTCGGCGAAGAGAGGCGAAGACAAAGCACCGAAAAAGGTACCAGCCGAAAGGATAGACACGACAGCTGAGGCCTGAGACGATGAGACATCAAGCTCACCTTGGGTATTGCGGTAGCCTGTCGAGAACGTGGTCTTCCAGTATGGCATGGCCATAATGCCGGCGATGGTACCTGTGTCATATCTGAATCAAGTGTCAGTCGATACCCCAGATAGGCAGCTTAGATCCACACGCGCGAGGAGTCGGTACGGACCCAAAAAGAATACCGCCGAAGGCAACAAACAAGCCAATGACAATGGCTGGCCAAGCTTTGCCTTCGGCTTTGTCGTGTACCACCGACAATCGGCGGATTGCAGACGTCATGGTGAGACAGTGTCAACCAGTGCTGTGGGATCTGGATTGGAAAGAGCACTTCGGTTTGTGTAGAAGTCGATTTCAGGGTTGCCTGGTCACGGACTTATCAGCTAACGGCGGTGCTGTAACCTTTATAACCACAAGAGCTCCTTCCGTTAGGAGCTTGAGCTCGGGTAACAGAGGTTGACTCGAGGCAATAGCTCTATGACATGTTCGATCTCTTCGTGGTCAGCTAACCGTCCAATCCAGGTAACTAGCCAACCAGCCATGCGCCTTCGCCTGGCGCCACCCGCTAAGCTGGGGAATAGATGGAGGGGGACGATGGAGAAGCTGCATGCCGGGGTGGTCTGGCTGGGGTCCCTTCGTAACGACGGCGTAAGCCTCGTGGAGAAGACCAAATAACATGTGGGGGGGGTTTATTGCCCGTGTTGGCAACAGACTTACCGGGTCTCAGGGAACCGCATTCTTGGTGCCCTGGAGGGTTTTCTTTCCCACGCGATCACACCGTGGGCTTCAATCATATTCGGGCCTTTTGAGACTTGCGCGGGTCGCCAACGTCAGCGTGTAACCATGTTACGTTCAGGTAGTGGTTAGGGCCGAACTCTCTCACCGGAGACCGCGAGAATCCAGGCGGTTTGAAGTAGTGACCCCATTGGAGTGAGCTGACAGCCGCAGCGAATTGTCGGTGTCCGCTGAATCACTCGCTCAGATGATGATCTGAGGGATGCCGTTCTGCCGACTAGCTCGGAACTGTGGGTGTCGTTTTGTGCGGGGCGGAGCTAATCACCAGCCGTTTTGACGTGGGCTGGCTGCATAACTGTTGGAGGAGGTCAAGTGCAGAAGCAAGGTGTGTATCTGCTGTAGGGCAGGCAGGATGTCTGGCACTACGCTTTGGAAGGCACTGGGTGCACGATCCATGTGGCACCAGATGAATACCTACCGCTGACCGATTGAGACCTACTGCCAGGTGAATGCCACCACCAATAATACTTAGCGGGCGGCTTGAAAGCTTGTTAAGCACGCTAACGGCTAGAAAGCTTGTCATGCACGCTAACTATCGGTAAAACACCAGACATGGTGCACATCGTCGACTCGTTGGTGCCGTTGAGGCATGGTGTGCCTCGCGGAGGTTCATGTGGGGTAGTTGTGGCGATCTTGCGGGGCTAGAGCGCCGGCGATTGGCACGAGTATCTGCATAGTCGACGCCTTACAAGCCATGTTGCTGTCGCAGTGCCGGCAGGTGACGTGGTGACATGGATGCAGCTATTCGCCTAGAGCGAAGCCAAGTTGAGATGTCAGCCATCTCTTCCTGTGCGTCAGCCCTCTAATACGTATCAGCTTGGATCCTGCTGCCATTTTTTGCCTCGTTCGGTTCTTCCTGGCTGGTGCGCCTCATGTGTTGAGGCGAGGCGAATCCAAGAACCTATACCAATGGGGGAGAGATATGGACTCTACGTGCATAGAGTGTAGGCGTGCAGAGATGAATCGTGCCTCAACAGCAACAGCTCTAGTGCACGTTCGTCCACACTTCGCGCTACCTCCGAGGGCCCGGTGCAGACCGGAATGCAGTAACACACACTCCAACGTACATAGCTAATGTTCAGCTTGGGTGCGTGGCGCATCTTGTCCCCTCACCCGGACTCTGAAAAACCTGGCTATCGCCCATTTGCATACATACCCCACAGCATGAAAAGATTTACAAAATATCTGCCTTATAGCCCCTCGGCGGACTAGAGACACAAGAGACACGATGAACGCTCTGTGGTTCTGGTAGTTTAGCTTTTCTGCTGGATGGAAACACATGATCCGCCGTCAACTTACTAACTAGCGAAGCAAAGCACTGGGCTCAGAGCTTTGCAGCAGACAGCGTGTTGTTGTCGGGCGACACGCGGGAAATAGGGATCACGGTGTCACACGATGAGCAAGAAATTGGACAGCAAGCCATCACACGGAACCTCAGCTCTGTTTTCGTGGTAAGTGACATCCGAATGTCGCCTCCTTGCTTCAAGCCACTTACAGAATGAAGAACAGCACCTGACCTGCGACCCAGTGGCAGCCGCAGTCACCGATGCTGGCATGTGGGGCAAACAGGCCCCATCATGGACTGGCTTGACCCGCTGGCGCCGGAAACGTAGGCAGTCTTCCAGTGTTTAGTGCGCGGGAATCTGGCTTCGGCCCCGAGGTCCATGATCTGATGCGTGCGCGACCATCTCCAATTCATTTGTCATGCCATTTCAGACAGGATCGAGGCTGAGAGCCTTGCGAAGCTGCAATGACCGAAAGAAGACCTCCAACAGTCCTATGAGCACGGCCTTGCCCCGACAGCATGTAGAAAGACATTTACAATGCTTTGCAGTGTACACTGCGCCAGTGGAAGATACCTTAGCAAATTAAGAGGGACATGCTTCATCCCACATCCTGGGGATCCACCATACCGTTGGGCTAGCAACTTCAGCTCTTCAGAACCCGAGTTTGCCGGCCTGTTCATCGGATCCTTGATTGTGAAGTGGGTACGCTACCGTGTCTGTTTGGGTACGAGGGCATAGGCCTTGCAAGTCGCGGTTGCGATGCGCGATGGGGCACATAAATTCTGGCCTCGCTTCATTCGGTGGTTTCTGCTGTCCAGCATGTTGACTCGCCATATACGGACTCATGTCGGCGTGATCCAGTTCCACATTTATCACTGCCTTCTCTGTTCGTACATCCGAGCTCTCCGACGCACCTGGGAATGTGCCTCACATGGCCGTAAAGAATTCTTTTTGTGGGATCAATCGACATCCCTTGGGAAGAATTAGAGGCCTGACGCGGCGACAACATTTGCAGCACAATAGTCCAGCAGCTCATTCATATAAGGCTGCAGGTTCCGGGCTGTGGATGCCATGAATCCTCTGACAGCGGTCAAGAGAAAGATTGTGAGTAGTCAGGCCAGAAGGTGTTCTCTTAAGTTATTCTAGACAGCGACACGCCATTGCCATCTATCAGAGCGCGGTCGTTCAAAGATAGCTGAATATGTTGTCAAAACACGTCCAAGATCCGAACCTTAACCGTCTTTTCGAATACTCGTTGCTTTCTTGTTTGAATTTTGATCTAGACAGTCTGCAGTGTTCGTCATCTCATATTGGCCTGTAAGAACCATTTCTGAAGCCTATCCGTAGACTTTCTGCCAGGTAGCCCTGCGAAGCCACTGAACACGGGGGCTTATTAGGTGCTAAAGAACTACGAGAATGTGTATATGGACTGAGGAGGGCCCTCCAAGCTAAGAAGGGCCAGAACTCAGATGTATTTTATGAACCCCTCCCTACATCCTACTGCCTGTGGAACACGTGTGGAGGACCTCTTGACTCTGCTTTATAGCAAGCGCTGACACTTTCTGACCCGAATTTGCGCTAGCTCATCGCTTGCTCTGTGGCTGTCAGTGATTGATTGAGAGCAGAGTGAAGAGGTCTTCCACGTGGTCCCAGGTCAATGGAACATAAGTAGGGGGTCGGAATACATCTAGATTCTGGCCAACAGCAACTAGTGGGGCCGTCCGCAGCTCTTATACACACATTCTCGTAGTCTTTAGCCCCTGGCTAGCCCCTTGTGTTGTGGCTCCGCGGGGGCCTCCTGACAGTGGCAGAGCAGGTTTGCCAAGGGGCCGAACCAAATTGACTAACTGCCCAGGATTCGGCGGACTCGATGCAGTGAAGCGGATGGCCATACATATTGTAAACATCACGCTTTGAAAATGACATGAGCAGTTCTGAAGGAAACTGCTTGCTGCCACAGAATAATATCCCAAAGCAAAGCAAAGGCTCTGATATTAATCATGGAAATGTGACAGAATCACATACCCGGTGCTTTGCCTCCGCAAGCTTGAGTCCGTGAGGTACGTCCATAGACACGAAAAGAGCCGGGGAAAAGAACGCGAAGCCAGCATGCGCAAACTGGGCATGATTGTGGCACCTTATCCCGGTTGCTTCATGGTGGGAGCCAGGAAGCGATCTCCCTGCGAAGCTGATCCGACACTTGCAGACAACCTTGCTGCAATCTGTGATCACTAACCACTGATTCCGCGCCGCCAATGCTGACGGGCTTCGGCAATCTTGTCGAGGGGTCTTCGTAAGCAGCCAATGTGGCCCAATGCGGCAAATGCGCGTGATGTCGGTCATTCATTACTCCGATCCTACAAGGCCTGCATTTTCCTCTTCGAGTTAGGCGCCGGATGCCATTCAACCCGACTGACACCAGCCGCCCATACCGGGACCCCACCATGTCCGGCATCACCGTCGGCGACCATCGTGTCTGAAGATGTTGTAGATGACGATGTGAAGCTTGGCAAAGCTACAAAAGCACCGATTCCGCACGTTCCAAGACTGTAATTCTTCGTCCTCATCGACGTGGTATTTACCTCCCAGTGCGACACTTTCCACACATTTTTCAATCCTCGGCTTCACTGAGGTTTACCATCACCGAGTCTCCGCCGTTCTGGTTATCTCAACCATGTCGCAACTGAAGTACTATTCATATGTCGGCCATGGAGTTCGTCTCCGCGAACAAATAAACTACAACCAAGCCGTGCGTATTAATGATCGCATCGAATGCTCCGGACAGTGTAAGTGCGCTGCTGTCAACACTATCATAACACACGACTGATTGTTCTAGGCGGTTGGGATCATATCACGGGCGAAGTGCCGGACGAATTTAATTCCCAACTCGAGAATGCGTTCAAAAACGTTGATGTCAACTTACGTGACGCGGGTGGTCAAGGGTGGTCTCAGGTGTTCAAGGTGCGACTTTATGTTCTCGAGTTCAGTCCCGAGAAAATTGCTGCCTACGTCGACCTGACACGGAAGTGGATGCCTAATCATTCCCCTATTCTCACCGGACTAGAAGTCGCTGGACTTTCAAACCCGAACTTCAAAGTTGAGCTTGAAGTCGAAGCACACGACCCGGAAGGTGCAAAGACCGCTCTGGCCTAACACAAGCTGTTTATGTAGATGTAGTTTGCAATGCATGACGGCTTCCAATACTGCGAAGTTCATTCTCGCCGCCATCTAAGTGCTGTTGAAGTGTCGTGAAACATATCGATTCCCTTGAACAGGTCCGGTCACGCTTCCGTCTCACGTAGCTAACCCTCAGCACATTGGAACAGTGTACATTACGTGGTTTTGACACACGGTCTGAAAGATTTCAAGATGAACACTATGTCTACTTATTCATTACCCAAGAGCTACGAGGACCAGAGGCTCGATTTTCAATAGATAATTGATTATTAGATGTATACAAAGTATCCAGTACTCGATGTGTTCCTAGCGCAATGTTTTCCATCTTAGATTCAAATCATGAATGCAACGAAGGCTCCGGCGAGAGCGATCAGACTGATAGAGTTGGACGCGGCGCCACCGGGAATATCAGTTGGGACAGTCGTAGGCTGGCCCGTTGCGCCGCTGGTGGGAGTAGACGAGGTCATAGTAGCGTTGCTGCCACCGTGAGCGGGCTCGGGGGCTACAGCACCCTTGTACAGGTCGCACTGGGCATCCTTGGCTTCAGGACAATCCTCAGCGATGCAGATCGACTGTAGCTGCTTGCCTTGGCCTGGGATGACCTCGGCAGCGGGCAAGCACTTGAAGTTGAAAAGGTCGGTCAGGGCCTTGCCAACTGCAGTGATGTCATCCTTGGCGACACCGAAGGATTCAGCGGCTAAGGCAACTTGCTGAATGAAGTAGCCCATCTCAGAAGGGTCGAGATCCATAAACTTGTGCACCTCGTACATAGAGGCATCACCTCCATAGGCGGGGAAGCCGGGCATTGAGTACTTGGAGCAGCCGAGAAGTGAACCAAAGAACTGATAGAGATGCGTGAGGAGGAAGCTGAAACACCCACTTGTCAGAAATGGCGGGTGTGTAGAAGTTGGGTGAGGACTTGACTTACTGTTGCCTCGACTTCTCCGAGTTGGCAGGCTTGTTCTCCATCAGGGGAGCGGCACCACCGCCGTCGAGGAAGTTAACAGACTCACCCTTATCACCACCACGGTTTGTAGAGGCGAGATCGCCATTGAAGTAAGGCAAGAGGTTCACAGAGGTACCCATAAAGTCTCCCTTGGCCAAGATTCCAGGGACCGCGACGCCAGTGTTTGGCTCGGTGTCTATAAATATCAGCTATCAGATATCTGTAGATGAAGGCACAAAGAAGTCTCACAGTTTCCAATGACCACTGTGTTAACCAGAAGCGTCAGCAGAGTATACTGGTTCTCTGCCGTGTTTTCCTTGAGCAGAGCTGTTGTGTAGTAATCACAGATGGGGGTGTCTGTGGGTCGCTGAGCAGCAACGCTGCTAGCAGCGGCCATGGCGAGCGCGATTGTCTTGCTGTGCATTTTGAACGGCTTGAGAAATGGACACTGAGGTAAGCAGAGGAGGAGATGTAGGGCGTAGTGCAGGAGCGGTCTCTCAGAAGGAAGGCGAGCAACGTGTTGTTTATGAGTCCAGCTCAACGCCGGTCAGGCTCTCAAACTGCTTTGCGATCACGTTAGCTCGTCCAAGACAGAGCAAGATTTTGGAGACACCCAAGTCTCGAAGCGGACTTGTACGACCAAATGCCTAATTCCAACCTGCATTAGCCAGGGTTTGATGTTCAGTCTACTGTTGCTTGCCAGTCCGGGCCAGGGGTCCAGGTACTAGCGCCGGATACGAGTGATCCGTGGAGGCGGCACTGGACGGCACAACAGCGGTATTTGATTCACCTCGTCTACCATTGGCTGCATTCTCTCCCTAGGCACGGATTGGGAATGTGCCGGACGGCGGCCTACCATGATCGCAATCTGGGGAAGCGTCATTGACACCCAGCTCATATGCCCGTGGCGTAGTGGACAAGCGGCCAGGTGAGACATTGAGTCCATAACGGAGTCATGTGGGGAATGTCCCTCCAACTGGGTCAAAGAAAGAGACCTTCGGCTTTGACGGGACTTCCGGCGCTTGCCATGTTGGTGCCGACTCTTCCTTGGAAAGTGAGAGTATTTCCCTCTTGAGAGAAGGCCAAAAGGGCGCCCGGAGAAATGCACGGGCAGGGCAGTGTCTAATCATCCGCTTGATATTGTCGGAAATGACATGAACCGGCTCAGCTCGTTATCGCTTCTCCCCTACACCACCCTGTGAGGTAGACGAGTCACGGCTCTATGGATGTCGAAGATGAAGATCAAGATAGGGAAGTGTCGATCAGGTCGGACGGCATTTGTCAATGGCTTCATACGAATCAGTGTCGTGGGCGCTTGCGACTTCGCGTATGAAAGCGGACCACGGAATGCCCACCTCTCTTTGGGCTGAATAGTACGTATCTACCAAGGTAGATGAACGGCAAAGACAGCGCGTGGGCACTTGGATAAACACTGACGACTAAGAAAACTTTAAGCGCCAGACTATCAAGTTGATGGTGGTAAGGACAATCGGAGACTTATTGCGGAGAATGAACGTTTTAGAAAAGCACAATATTACATGCAAACAGGGACGCACGAGGAAGTCTTTTCTTTACATTGACGTACAACATAGCTCAGTTTTTCCACACAAATTTCTGATACCGAAATATGCAGATACGTACAGGGGAAAGAAAACACCTGCCCTGCTATTTCCTGCGGAAGAAGTAAATACTGAGACCTACATCAACTCCATGTCTGTCGGTCAAGTTGGGAGCCTGACCACCAATCCGAAATTCGTTATCGTCGGGATTGTGCAACAACGGCTGCAAGTGTCCATGGACATACGATATTGTGGCAGAGCGTGAGCACGAGCAGAGTGAAGAGGGTGAGAAGGCGCATGGGTTAGGGCCTTCGCAGCCGTTGTTTACGCGCCCCTGAGTTCCCAGCCCCTATCTAGCCCCCTGTCTCTTGGCTCCGCAGGTGCCTCCTTGAATGCTGTCTTCGATGATCTGGAGAAGCTGCGCGCACGTGTTGCGACTGCTGATAGCCTGCGTACCCATGACAACATTGGGGAATGGCAAACCACGCACGTGAGACCCAATGTACCTTACTTTGGCTAGTGAGATGAGTATGGTTCCCTTGAGTGCAGATTCCGACCAATGCAAATGCTCGCTTTGCAGTCCGGACTTGTACTATCCTTTGAAGCACTTCCCCCAACGGATTCCAAGACATAACAAAGACTGAAAACACCTCAACAGATTTTAAGGGAGTCGCATACAAAAGGGGTCAACCAAAGCCATCTGAAACCCAGGAACTTTAGAGATCATGACTTCAGATCCCATCATCAGCTCGGGGATACCAGTCTCTGTCGAATTACGCTGGACAGCTGAATAGGATATGTTAACGTTTTACAATTGTTAGGAGCAGTGTACAGTTCCATTCGACATCTTCGAATGCTTTGAAAGGGTTCCTTTCGAAAGAATCCTTTCAAGGAATTCATGTGTATTAATGAAAGATATCAAGTCTTTTACTATGAACAAAGCGGCTAGCCTCAAGGTCAGTATATGTAGAAACCACTTCTCGCGTCATTGGGAACATGTCGGGGAGCGGCGTGGGATCATCGTGATAGATCTTTTCTTTCATCATTCAAAATTGGATTACCACGCGGGCGAAAAACTCTGCTCGATTTTGGTTTGGCAATTCGCGAGCACTTTGAGAGCTTTGTGATCTCTTGGAGCTATCAATGTGCAAAGATGAGGATAGCAAAAAGCGCCGGCTTCCACGCAGCCAGAAAGTGGTCTAATGGTCGTACGTCTCAGTCACCCATCGTTTTCAATACCAAGATCCACTAACCCCTATCCAGTAATGGTTATGACTGCGGATTCTGATTCCGCCAGCCCAGGTTCGATTCCTGGTTGGACCTTGCAATCAGTATTTTTGACATTTTACTGAATTTTGTGGGTGCGCGAGGGTTTCCGCCACCCTCTGCTCTCCATAAAAACTTTAGTCATCATGAATTGTTTGATCGCGGAGCAATGTTGGTGAATCGCTTTCATGGGATGCACTCTTTGCTGCACACCTGTTTGTGTCCAGAGACTGTCGTCATGAACAAAGCTCGATCGAGATCGATTTAATAGGAAGACCTTTTTCGAAGAGGATCGTCAAGGCGCGCCAATGGAAATGGCGACATCAGATGGTCCTCAATATTGATGATCTGATACTTACACTCTCACGCTACTCGTTTTCGTGTAGCAGTTACAACAGAGTGTGAGAGGCCAAACTGTTGGTCACATAACCAGCATGCATGTGGGCGACCCAACTGCATATTTAGTGTCATCCGTGTTAACAAGACAACGAATCAGGCGCCGCGAGTGACGAGAAATAAACAGACCCGCCTCGCTGTACTTATAATAGGCCAGCTGGTTTCTAACCAGACCACGTTGTTGCAGGTGCTGGATCCTCTCCTGTCTTGGCAATATTTAGCGCTGGCTTCATTGGATGTTTCAGGGTGCTGTGCAGTTGGGCATGCAGGACAATGAGCGACGAAGATCGTACGCTAGCAAATCGTTGGATGAAGGGCATGGTGACCCCTGAGGGCCGCGCCGAGTGCACTGTCGAATTGGGGGGCTCAGTAGGATCTAGCGTCGCGGTTGACTGCTTGCAGCTGCTGCAGCCAGTTCAGATTTGAGTAGAATATCCGTTTAACACTCCATTGGGCATGGCCAGGGGCACAGATGAACCCCAACCTTCGCTCAAACTAACACTCTTGAGCTGCGAGTCCATTTAGCGACGCCGGCATACCCCTCAGTCCATGCGCGGGTTGTTCTCACCAACCTTCTTGACTCTATTTCGGCCGTCGTCGTCTACTCGAGTCACCTCGAAAACAGCCAAAGTAGCCCAAGAGATGGCCGACAGCCCGACCCCACAAGCTGCGGAAATAGCAGCGCCAGCATCAACACAAGCGGAGCCAGTGCACGAGGTGGTAATTGTGAGGCCAGCTCAGGTGGAACAGCTCCCAAGGGCGAAATACTGATCAAGAAGAAAGGTGCCCGATGTGCAACATGGACCTAACTATGATGGCGATGCCGACTCGACATACGAAGTGGTACGTGTGTACCTATGGATGACGGATCCGTACTGCGTCTCAGATCCGCGTGCGACCCGTCAGTATCCTCGCAAATTCGCTTACTTTGCCTGTCAATAGCCCCCGGAATCGACCGCTTCCTTGCGATCGAGCATCCTCGAGTTCCAAACAGAAAATGGAAGAACTTACCATTCACTGAGCGCAGGAAGTAGGTGTACTCTCAACCATAACATACATCAACTGATTGAGATGTCCAATAGAATACGTGCTACCAAATGACGAGGCAAGTCCCGTTCCCCTGTTGATAAGAAGTGGTATCGCTCTTGACCCATGATCCATGAATACACGCTGTCGGCGGGTACGAGAGGCCATTATCCCGGCCGGATCTCACCTTGTCCTTCTTGATGGTGAAGGTTAACCCTCTTTTAGCAAGAAAGCGAACGTCTTGATATAGTCCATAATCTCAACTTCCTTACTTACGACTATCGCCTCGCGTTGTGTCCCAAGAACAATGGCGCAAAACGTGTTCTCGACATGGGCACTGGCACAGGCGTCTGGGCTGTCGACTACCGCTGATGCGCATCCCGAGGCCGAAGTCATTGGGGTGGATCTGAGTCCTATCCAACCTAACTTCGTACCACCCAATGTTCGATTCGAAATTGACGATCTAGAAAAGGAGTGGACTTGGGCTCACAAGTTCGATTTCATTTTCTGCCGCTCGCTGTCCGGCAGTTTTCCCGACTGGGAGCCCGTCCTTCAGAAGGTTTACGAGTAGGTGTGATGCCCATCAGAGGTACCAGTCTGTACTGAATAGGCCTCACCGCAGTCAACTTGAACCTGGTGGTTACTTCGAGATTCAGGACGGAGCGTTCCCCGTTGGAACTGACGACAACACGATACCCAGAGACTCGGCACTCCTTCGCTGGTGCAATCTCCTCGTTGAGGCCAGTGGCAATTTAGGGCGTCCCGTTGACCAGGTCTACAATTACAGCACCATCATGCGAAAGGTAGGCTTTGTTGATTGCGTCGACCGCGACTTCAAGTGGCCCACGAATACTTGGCCAAAGAACAAGCGCTTCAAGGAAATGGGCATGTGGTCATTGGCTGCCCTTGACGCCGGTTTGGAAGGCCTGTCCATGGCGCTACTGACAAGAGGCCTGAACTGGACTATGGAGGAAACCTTAGCTTTCTGTGTCAATGTACGCAGGGAGATGCGCGATCCCAGAATACATGCCTACTGGCCCGTGTAAGTCTCGAATATTGCAAATATTCAGGAAACTTACTGACGTCGCACGACGCCAGCCACGTGGCATATGGGCGGAAACCAGAAACTGTCCCAGCGGCGGCAACGGCTGAAGATACATCGACCTGAGTGACGTGGTGATACCAGCACTCCATCTCGGCCTTCGTGGGGTAAACCAAATGTATGCACCAATACAACCATCATCAATTTTACTATTTTCGAGTTTTCAAGTATCGCTGGACGACAAAGGCCTAGCCCGGCACCTCTTTGAACATATTTTCTTTGTCCGAATCACTGTGCATCGGTAAGGCTACAGAAGATCTTGGGAAGTGATTACCAGATACGGTTCTGTCAGTAGCGTACAGTAACACTTTTTTTGTTCAACTGGCTTCATTAGAGCCACAAGGTTGGCTCGTCGGAAAGACTGACACCGCTTTCCTCGCCAGCGAGAATGGTTGGCTTCCATTTGCGCGACTTTCCCTGCAGTTCCCTTTACGTCGCAGAACAGATCTTTTGCTCCGCGATTGTGATTAGACACACTCCATTGTCTTGAGGGTCATAATGTAATGTACAGGTGGCTTACAAGTTGCTGCCCACAGCCGAACTTCACAGTGTTTGGGAACAAACGAGATCTACTGGCCTGGACCAATGTCCGTGAAAAGTTGCATGGATAATTGCCTGAGAATAGTCGCTAGGTTTCTGATCTGGAGTTAAGTTCTCATGCGTGATATATTTTACAAATATGGCCAGCTTTTGGGCGGCCTCTCACAGACAGATCCAACCCTACGCAAACCCTCGACAACGTACCGAAAAGAACTAGATCAAAAGCCACATCAAACTTGGAGAGGGCCGACACCCAGTAGTCAACATGGTCAACAACTCGCGCAAGTTCGCCTTCGAGGAGGAGCCCAGCCCCACAAGCCAGAATACGTGGCAAGCTGAAGCTCAAGGCTCTTCGGGACCTAACTATGAACCTGAGCCTGGAAGTCCGGCGGGACCTAGCATCAACTCGAGTGCTTCAACCCGACAGTCAGGCGGCTCGTTCGCGAATCGATGGAAGTCGCGGGTTTCTGGTCCCAACGATACCTCGCGACAAGATTCGGTCCCTGGATTGCCCGTCAGCACACCCCTCTCCGCCCGGAGGCCAGTCCCCCTTCAATCTGTCTACTCCGGCCTTTCTGGAAAGACGTCCAACCGCCCAATCTTCCAGCAACAACCTTCTCACTGCATGGAGAAGCGCGATTCCATGCTCTTCACAGCTGTGACGAAGACTTCAATGGCCAGCAACTTCAACGACGAACAGCCTGAGACACTAGACTTGATCAATCATGCGCTGTTGAAGACTGTGGCCCGCACTACAGTGTGTCTAGCTGAGATGGAGGTCCGTGTTGGACTGCGCACTCTTCTAGCCTGCCAGGCAGTCCAAGGCCTGGCGAATCTTCGCCAAGATGTGGCGTCCTGGAAGCTTATGGGCCCCGCGCTTACACAACGGTTGTATGGTGAACAGTCGGAAGTGCTTGACCGCTTGGAAAGCATACGCGATGCGATGCGCGATTGCAGTGCCCATGAACCCATTTGCGAGTGCCAGCTTTCGGTCTCCGACCTCATGACAGACCAATACACGACCGTGGACTTTTTCGCCGGCCGCGACATTCATGACTACGCCGAATGTTGCCACAACATTGTACTCGAAAGCAGTGACGCAAAGAACCCGGCTTCTGAGACCAAAATCATGCAGAGGATGTATCGGGGCCTGGACGACTTCTTCAAACGGAAGGAACAGGCTGGCTTTGGGGACTACGAGCCTGATAAAGCCCGATGCCAAAACTACGCATCTTTTTTTGAAGCTTGGTACAGGATGATCTCACCCGACAACAAGCCATTCCTCAACAAGTTGGATCAAGAGATGCGTCGGCTTCAAGCTCTGGCGGATCAACAGCGAAAAAGGAAGGTACACAAGAAGCGGCCGGAGTTCATAATACGCGTGACTGGTCTTCTGAAGGGAAAGTCTGTGGATAGAGGCTCCGGATCGGGGTCTTTCAGTCCCTGAGGCTAATCGCGCCATTTACTCCCGAGGATACGACGGAAATGGTTTCTTTCAGATGGGCAAGGTATGATTTTTGATGGCAAGAAGATAGATTCTTATTGCTTTGGTTTCTTATTTCGCGCATAGCTTAGGTTTGGGGAGTGATGTGATTAGGCTTAGGTTCTATTCATAAGCGCTGCTGGCAGCGCTTCAATAAATTGTCCGTTGTTTCTGTTCCTGACTGAATGTATGACACAGAGCTTCTTCGCAACGGCAAAATTAAACACGACTTATTCATTTCCATTCCAATCATGGGTGTTTCAGACTTACACCTAATCATGTCTCCACAGTGACTGATGCGTATGTTCATAGTGTATATGCCAGGTGGCCCTGCGGAGCTACTAAGCAGGGCGGTCGGTCAGGGGCTAAGGTTTACGAGAAACGTATATATAATGACTGCGGAGGGCCGGAATTCCGATATATTCCGACCCCTTACCTATATTATAATTGCCTGCGGACCTTGTGCAAGACCTCTACACTCTGCTGCCCTATACCACGCACTGACAGCATAGTACCGATTTCTGAAGAACAACAACTTTTGTTCTTTTCATCTTATGCCACGTGAACCTTGGTAGCAGCCAGCGATATGTTACTGAAATCGCCGTGAACCAAGCGACTCTTCGCGTAATGGACGACTTCAATCGGTAATATGGAACTCACCATGGAGCTTAAAGCACAAGTCTTTGTTCTTGTAACAGGTAGGTGCCTTGGGGGCTTATTCAGTTGTTTTCAAAGATCATGCAGTAACTCTGAATATTGCTGCGCCTGTTTATTAGTATACATCTGAGCTACCCAACGATAGCTGATGGCCACCTTGCTGTCCTGCTAATCTGATACCGGCACTAATTTCATCCCAGTTGGTCAACAACGTCCATGGCCGAAATCTTTGGTCATGATACATATCATCAGGCTTTTCACACTGGGGCATACATACCTCTGATCTATGTTTTTCAGTTGCACTGGATTCACTTTCAAATCCTCTGAATTTATTACACATTCAACGTAAGCGGCACAAGGTCGCTAGTTCACTATCACTCGCTGTGAATTAAGTCGGTATGCGAGACTTTGGTCAAGTATAGAAACTCGATAGCCTTCGTAGAGAAGTGTAGACTTCCCTTGACTCATATCATTCTTGTGTTATTCAATTCGGTCTTGGTGACCCTCAAACATAAAGTGTTCCACCATTACATTAGTAACAACGTCATGTCTGGCAAGTCTCAGTCGCTACAGACTGTGTCCCGGGCTCTGAGTCCAGGCGAACAAGCCGAGTTTCGTGACTTCAGTCGGATTTGTCCAACACCCTCTCCGCCTGCCGATATAAAGCAAGCCGAAGATTGGAGTCGATCTTACGCTCTACGCTTGGAAATTCCGCCCTTAGGGCACCCAGGTCATAGACTTCGAGCATCGACGCCATTGCTCGTGGGGAACCTAGAGGCCGTCGAACTCACGCCAAGTTATTTCCGGCGCAATCAGCCTTATAAGCCACCCGATATGCCTTTGCAGACAAAAGAGAGACGACGCGAACGGAACATTGCCTTGATGCAAATGTCTGGCGATCGAGGCATGATAGATTATCTCCATCATGCTTTACGACATCACGATGAAGGCTTGCTGCCCGGCTACCACAACGAAGGCTACTCGAAGTGTACGAAAACCGAAGCAGGCGCTACGATCCCCCCTTTTAACAAAGGGTTCTTTGATGACACACCTCAGGAAGACTGTCGTCGGTCAATCATGCCTGACGAGGCGCCACCGGGCGTCTGGCACTCCGGCTCTGGCAGTGATTCCTTCGCATCGCTTTCTAAGCAGTTCAGTCCGGGTAATCTTCCTGCAGCTCATTTAGATATGAACTACCCTGAAAGCAGTCGCATGGGGATTGCTGCATCAATAGACCGGAACCGACGTACTGTCACGCCTATTAACGAGAGCACCGGTCTGTTGTTTCTCACACAGAGCCGGTCAAGAATGCAGCTTTCCGATGCATCCTCAGCCAGTGATGGTCCTGAAACATCGTCACCAGGGAAGCCGGCTATCGCCCTGAATAAAGCTGGAGGAGAGGTACGCCAGGAGAGCAATCTTTCAAACACTAGCAGTACAGCTAGCATGATATGGCGTCGCATTGAAGAAAATCTCGCGGAGTCGCACAGAAATGATATTGAAACGTCGCAGTTGTCGGGCTCTAGTGGAAGGAATCCGCCTGCAAGTCTTCTCTTTGAACCGTGTCCAGAAGACTTGACGTCCAGCGAATATGATACGCAGGAGAAGAGTGACGCGAGTTCAAGCCCTTATGCTCCAGCTGCTCAAATATTTTACCAAAGGGTCGATTTCAGCGCTTTCGAATTGAGAGAGAACATGATCAATACGGCTCACGTGGTTGGGTCTGCCACCACTACTTCCAGAAGATCGCACGATATTGTCACAGAAAGTCCTGCAGATACTTCACCAAGCGCCAACTCTCACAATTTTATTGAGACAATCCCCACAACTTGTATCCCATCGGATATGGATGCTGCCTTTGAAGACGTGCCGCTCGTCACGTCCCCAAACATGCAGGCTCCTGATAGCTTTAGGCGTGCTAACAGCCGATCAACCCCGCGCGGGGGCACTCCTGAGCAGTTTAATGAAAGATTAGCACGAGTGGGCAAGCTTCAACAAATAGTCTCAAGCATTTGTCCAGGACGCGATCGGGCAAGACAAAAAATACAACGCAGTAGGCATGATGAATACCGTGATCAGTCTTACATCGAGTTATCCTCATGGAATAGCAATCACAATGACCGTCTCGATTATGAGGTCGATTTCGGACATTGGCCGACTAATCATCTTGGCTATGACTTGGAAAGCGGCTGGGTGCCAAGGCGAAGAACTTTGCGATGGCTCACGCCGGACTACCTAGCCTGTTTGAATCTCCTGATGCTCTTGGTTCATGCGGTGCTTCTGTCGTTGCTCCTGGCTCGTAACTCCGTGTAGCACATAGAAGACAGAGCCAGATTCCTGCTGAAGTGCAGTGAGATGGATCAGTGAGACGTTTCGGACATCACTTTCGTGCTTCGTGTTTCATTTGTTAGACAAAACAGGCAACTTTCTTTCCGGTGACATGGTGCAATGAATTGATGGACAGAACTAAAAATGTGCCTGATAGAGGTTGAGATTTACGGATTCAAGTGGTTCATGGACAAGCTAGTCTGGCTGCTAATCGGGATCTGAAGCATTTCCCGTCAGGTGGAGATGTCGGTTGCATCCTCCGACGTCGTTCCGATGCGGGGTCCCGAATACGTGCTAAGGGAGTGCTTCGCCGAAGTCATCTTTATTCACATCACCGTAGAGAGCTTTATCCTCTCATCTGTATTCTTTCCTTTGAATCTAGCATTTCATTGTTCAACCGCCATGTCGCAACACAGTCTCTCCGCAGCAGAGCGTCTTGCCGCGCTCAAACCGGCTCCTCCACCAGTGCCGGCCTATCTGCCAAAAGCCGGGTCGCCTTTGGCAGTCGATAAGGACCTCTACAACGCCATTTCATCCGCCCCTCGGATTCTCACGGAGGAATTTACCCTTCCTATCCGCTCCGGCCAGGCCTGGACCGCCAAGGCTGGCTCCCTTGTCCGCATCAGTACGCCCGAAGGACCTCAAGTCGGCAAGTCACCCACCCCATTGACGTACACATCTAGCTCTTCCTCGCGACCTTGGGCTGACCCTCGTCAGCGGACCTGAATATTTGGCATGCTGGAAACCCGCGAGAGCGCTTCTGGGCCTCCCGCACCCGTCAGCTTCACTCCACTCACCTCACAACCCACGATCGTCTGTGGTCCACGCTGCCATACATGCGTCCACTGCTGACCATCATCTCCGACTCGCTCGCCTGGCACGGAAGAGATGCCCACGGCGGTCGAGTCCATGACCTCCTCGGCACCCGATGTGACCCGTATATCAACTCGGTCCTAACCGGCGGCACCGACTCTTATGACTTTCACTGCCACTCCAACCTTGTCAGGGCTGTGGCACCCCACGGTCTTCAAGAGCGGGACGTCCACGATGTGATCAACCTGTTCCAGGTAACAGGGCTCGACGAACAAGGGCGGTACTTCATGAACCCCTGCCCGGCGGAGAAGGGCGACTCAATCGAGTTCTTGGCCGAGGTTGACGTGCTCATGGCCATGAGCACCTGTCCCGGCGGTGATCTATCGCTGTGGGGATTCGGCGCCGACAGCGAGAAGGACATGATCAAGTGCTGTAGGCCGCTCAAAGTCGAGGTGTTCAAACTGGAGGACGAGGGCCTGCTCGATAGATGGGGATGGAAGCCAGCAGAGGTATCTCCTTACAAGGGCAACCACGGCATGATGGTTCCGCAGGGAGAGGGCCTCGGGCCCATGTCTCGATAACCTTCATCGTTAAACTGACGGATCGCATCTTTGAACAAGGAATCGCGCCCACAGTAAATGACCGGCGTCTTGAAAGTTAATTGACACGTCTCCGGTGCAGCCATGCACAAGGCTCTCTCACTCGAGGTCCTTCAGCATCCAAAACCCCCCCCACTTCTCCCCGCCCGGCTGCAGCCGGAACCCAACTTTCTCGTAAAACGCAACGACCTTGCCGTTGTCGCCAGCAATCCCAATGTGGATGCCCTGCTCATAGCCTTTCTGTTCCCTGAGGCTCTCCACGAATGCCTCGACCAGCTTCCTCCCCCACCCCTTGGCCTGCCACTCCTCCAGCAGGTCAATGTGCATTGTGGCCCGGTGCGTTTCCCACAAGATCTCCTTGCCCTGAAGAACAGCCATGTCAAAATCATGCGCGAGCTGCAGCAGGGCCTGCTCATTCACCTCCCCATTGATGGCCCACGGCTCCCTGAAATCCCTAGACCGTGGTGCCTCGACCTCTGTCGAAGGCTCAAGCACCTCTTTGACGTATCGTCCATACACCGCCCCGAAGGCCTTCACGTCGGGACATCCGATGCAGTAGCCGACTGC